TCAGAGCAACATTGATGAGCCTTGAGCCTCTAGCCATCCTTAAATTAAATGTGATCTACTATCATCTCCTACTACATATATTATATAACATATATTTTATTTGCTTTTCTGTTATCTGCCTTTTTCTGAATAACCACACCCTACCTTTTCACAGTTGATGCAACTTCCGTTCATTGTTTTACTTTTAGCTATACTGCATATATATTTCTGTTAATTCGTGCCTTTTCCTCGTAAACTGGATAAAGACTGGTATTGGCCCGCCGAAATATCGTGACTACATGTTTGTTGTCTTTTTCAAACAATAATGTATATCTTTTCATCAGTTTTACAATCAATATCAAAGGAGCGAGCTTGAAGGAGGAGCACGCATGTATCCCAAAATGCTTCACAAAATCCTCAGGCCACGCGGACACAGTCCAAGATAGATGGCGTCTAAATTCATTTAAAAAAATGCATTCTACAGGTGGTTCATATTTATGTATTGTGCTTTTAACCTGTAGATGGATAGATAGCCAGACTGAGGTAACATTTTAACCATTTGGTTCCCTCCTTTGTTGTTAGATTGTAGTGTACCATCCTAGCAATTAAAAAGGTTTTAGTGGATATGTCAGGAAGAAAGCACACAGCACCAAACAACGCGGTATGGGCAGATCAGGTTACGCATGCGTACAGCCAAATTACCTCTTCCACTCCCCCGTCCCTCCAGGAGCAGCTATGGACAGCTGTTTGTCCTCATAAGGACTCACCATCACGAGATAGGCGGAAAGATCTCACTAGTGATCACAGATTCCGCTTTTACTACCAGACAAAGTACGGAGGACAAAGCAGGGGCCCATAGCCTCATAAAACAGACTATCTCTTTTTTTTCCGCTCGGTTTATTTTTTTTTTCGCCAGTACTCCACTAGCCTGGAACAGGCTTGGCAGCTCGCGGCTTTGCCGGGGTGAAAGGCTTGCTCATGCGTCTTGTCCTTGCCATACCGTGGAGTTTGAAAGTGTGCTTGGTCCTGGTCATAAATTTGTGGCACACCAATCAGCAAAAGGTGTTCCCTCGTCCATACGCTTGACATTTAAAAAAAACCTTCCATATAAAATGTCACGTATTAGACATTATTCGTTATGTGGCATTATTTCGTCGCTCAGTAATTCATTGACTTTTGAAATACGTGTAAGTAGTAATGATAAATATAGCAAAGTTTGAAGAATATTAATTGTTTAATACAGTTTTGAGAAAAATACCTGGTACATGAAGTTTTGTGGTAGGACAAAATGTTGACAAGTAACATTGAGATTTAATTGCCACAATAAATTCCCATTTTTTCAAGAAAGAATCAGCTATTTTCAGATTTGTTATCAATCTCGTTCTCATTATCTCTCCTACCCGTGGTAGGAGAGAACCCTGGGAACGAGGTTAATTTGTTGTTTGCTATTAGGCCACTGCCGAATGGTTAGACTTTTCTAGTCTTCTCGGATAAGGACGATAAACCGTAGGTCCCGTCTCACAAGCCCTTGCACATGCAATAAATCTGTGGGACGTAAATAACCTTAGCTGTTGGCTGAAAGCTAACAAGCTCAGTCTAAATGTTGCTAAAACAGAGCTAATGATTATTGGATCAAGACAAAGACTATCTGCCGAATGTGACGATGTAGAAATCAGAATTGATGATCAGCCAAAAATTATCAAGAGAGTCGATCATACCAAATCCTTGGGTCTTACCATAGATGCTCAACTCTCTTGGGGTAAACCCTGGGGTAAACACGTTGAAGAGATTTGCAAGAAAGTCTCTTCAGCTATAGGCGCCCTAAAACGTGTGCGGCCCTTTATATCCAAAGAAACTGCAATTCAAATTTATAACGCCTTAATTATGCCTCATTTTGATTACTGCAGCCCCGTCTGGGACTGTTTGAGTGGTTACTTGAGTGATATGCTCCAAAATTACAGAAACGTGCAGCCAGAGTAATTATTAAATCACCCTTTGATGCGAGCTCAAACCACCTTCTCTCCATCCTCAGCTGGGAGAGGCTATCTCTTCGACGAAAGAAACAAAAGCCTTAATGGTGTATAAACCATGAATGACCTTGCTCCGGAATATCTACAAAGTCTTTTCTCTCAGCGTCACTCTGCTTACAACTTAAGTAACTCTGAGGGAAGGCTGACCCTGTCCAAACCAAGCACCAATTATTTGAAACGAAACTTTTCTTACAGCGGGGCCATGTTATGGAATAACTTTATTAAAGACTTGAAAAATGCTGCATCCGTTGAGCATTTTAAGCGAAATATCAAGAAGGTAGGTAATATATCGGATTCCCACGGCAATCATGTAAAGCAGTTTAATTACTGTGAAACCTGTATTAAGCGGACACCGGGGAACGCTGTGGTATCCGCTTAATACAGGGTGTCCGCCTAATACAGGTTTCGCTAGATAACGTGATATGAGGTGTCAAATGCCCTTCAAATGAACTGTGGAAATGTTGAGAATACTCCCGGAGACTTTGACGATATACGTTTGCGTTAATTTCTTTATCAAAGTGGACCATTTGATCATAATACCATAAACATAGACTGCAACCCAATTTTAAGAAATCAGATGAGTGAAACAAGCTCTATACCAACAAAACGAAATAGAAAAACAATACTGTACTGTGAAACTAATCAAATAAGTTCGTCAAGTCACGTTTTTAATGTAAAAATCGAAAAAAAGTTGTGGGTGGCAATTCGAGACAATCTTTCGCATTTCCGGTGTCTGGCATGTTGGGTGTGGTGGAATTTAATTACAGGTGTCCGTTTAATACAGGTTGGCAACAATAGAAATTATCATTTAAAGTAAATAAGGGAAATAAATTTTGGGACTTTGGCTACTGTCCGCTTAATAGAGGGTGTCCGCTTAATACAGGTTTCACTATAGTTTTAGTTTTAACTTAAAGCTTAACTGATGATTTCCCGTGTTTAAATAAAGATTTACATACATACATACATATAGCCTGCGTAGCTGGCGGTATTGTGTAGTAGTCGAGGAGATTTGGCGGCGGAGTCGTTGTAATATAGTCGAGTGAGATTTGACGGCGGAGCCGTCAAGAGCGGCGAAGCCGCGAGAAATACCGCCTGCCAGAGAACTATGATTTTTCGAATGCCGCCCACTTTTGTCACCTTAGCTGATCCCAATTAAATCAGCCAATCAAAGACAAACTTGCAGCTTGAAACTTCCGATTATTTTCGCCCGAGACAGTTAAGAAATAGGCGTTGACAGGCTAAACACGACTCCTAAGGGAAAGTTCATTTAATATGACAAGGGGGGGGATGAAGATATTGAAACTCGAAGCTTGAAATTTTAGCAGCCCCCATCGCTAGCCGTTCAATTTTTTAGGAGCCCCCTCCTTGGTAGTCGAAAAAATTTCAGAGCCCCCCCCCCTCCTCCTTCAATTCCTTTGCTCCCCTGAAAAAAGATCGCTAGACTGTATTAAATATATTTAACGTTATTGTCTTCAATGGTTTATACTACAAACTTGAGATACAGTTGTCATACAATTTTCTAAAGCATTTTTGGGATGAACAAGAGTGTAATAATTACTGAGACTACATTTGTTATATCTGTAAACCACGTGATATAGCTGAGTTGCACAGGTCATTAAATTGTTGAGTTGAAAACCATCCGATCTGTATGATGATGTCATGTGTTGGTTTTGAAGTATACAAATTTTCAGGAGCCCCCTTCGGGTGTCTAAAAATTTTGGAGCCCCCTCAATATCTTCACCCCCTTGTCATATTAAATGAACTTTCCTAAGCTCGTGATAATGTGAAACGTGACCTTGTGAGTTTACTTAAACAGAGGTTTTTTAATTTTTCGACTCTCGCGCGAAGGTTACTAGCACTACACAGTGCATGTATCATTCTAAACTTTGACTGAGTGAATCTTTTTTTGCCACACTAGGCTTAACAATAAAAGGTCATGAAGCTGGTTTGTTACATGCATACTGAGTAACCATTTCCTGTGGTTTATTCTTCTGAAGGTGTTCCTGATAGGATTTGATCTCAGATGCAGTTGTAAAGTGTTTTAATTTTCTTTGACCTTTGTTTCTTACGGCTAAATAAAGACAATTCCAGCGCTGTGAAGATTAGAGACGCCATTTCGGCAATTTGGTCATCAATTATGCTCTTTTTAAATGGGAAACCACAATCACTTACGTCTTTTCCAGTTTGCCATCTGCTCCCTTAATTGGGAAATATATGCGAAGGATCATCTAACATGATTGACATATGTATAGCCCTCGACCAATCCGTTTCTCCGCACACTGGTGTGCGGACTATTCAAAATACCGCCTCGTCCCTACTCCCTTTTTTTGGAACACGGCTCCGCCGCCAAAAGGTTAATCTCGCACTCACACAATACCGCCAGCTACGCAGGCTATTAGAAGCCCTATGGGAAGTGGATAAAAAGATATTTACAATTTCATGTAATAATTTATTAAAGCTTGTGTTATTGCGATGTTGTATATGAATTATCCTCGATGTGTATTTTCAGCAAGTTTTGTAAAGGAATGTACTGATGTTAGTTACGTTGCTGGAGAAGGTGTGGGATTAACTGTACATAAGAAAAGTGTTGTTATAGAGGAAATAGAGGAAGTGGAACTGATATCCCCGGGGGGTACTTTAGGAATTTCTGGGTGGGGATGTGCCGCTGGGACCCTGGAACCCTTAACCTATACCAGAGCTAGTTCAGCTGAATTTTGCTACCCTATACTAGAGTAAACTCCCCAAATCCCCCTATCCTAGAGTAGCTGTTTCCCTTGTCTAGATAAAATCTTCAACCAACTGATCAGTTTCCTGAGAAATGATACCCTATTCTAGACCCAAACGCTCTGATTTACATACTCTACCCTAGAGTAAACTGCCTGAAAACCATACCCTTCACAGCGGCACATACCTATATAGCCCATATGTGGCAGTACCCCCCCCCCCCCGGGCTGATATCTCGTCCTGCGCAATTTATTTGTGACAGAAATTATGATCGAAACGCTGTCATGCACCAAGCAGACATCCAGTGAAGAAGTTAAAAGACGTCTTGACAAAGGAGAAAAGTAAGAGTATTTGTACGGAATCGTATCAGGAAAAATATCATTTCTTACTATTCCTCCGCATTCACAATTAATTCCAATACTACGATGCCGAATTGCACGCTCACATAGCGTCTTGTTATCTTCATTTTTGCCTTAGACGAAAAACCTCCAGTAAGCAATCTCTTTGTCGCGCACCAACTGACATGGATAATGGCTCTTTATACATACGCATACATGACTTATCTATGGGTGCATTCGCTGAAATGAAGATGGAGTCGGACATGGAGTATCTTTCGGACGAGTCCTGGCAATGGGACGAAGAAGATTCAGAGAATGAGTCAAAAGATTCGAGTGACAACTATAAATCCTCAGTCTGGTACGCCGCTTGGTTCGGAGAAGCTACTGATCTTCGTAACATTTTGCAACGGCTAAATCAAATAGAAAAACGGATGCACTTAAACAATTTACGCTGTGGCTATATGGCCGGTAACCGGTCAGTAAATTTCACAAAATCGAAAGATTCTAGCTAATCTAAACTATCATATGCCGATTAAGACAAGTCAAGCGATCCTGAAATGCTATATAGATCTCAAGTCTAGTGTTTGATTTACGCCGGGCTCAGAAGACGAGACCGTGTTTTGTGACACTTTTTTCAGCTCGACCGCCGGTCACAGTTTTCAAAACACTGCCGGTCATTTAGTGTTTTTAACACCTTGAGCGGTTACCGGCCATATAGCCACAGCGAACACTTTAAATCCATAAAAATCAGGGAGGACATCTGTGCAAGATATTTTGGCGGGCACTCCCCACTCATCGCTGCTGCTCGCCGCTGAGAACTGGATTGTGTCAAAGAGCTTCTTCGATACAACGCAAATATTGAAGCTTCAGGACGAAATGTCGCAGAAGATATAAACAACTGGGAAGTCGACGGAACTGCTTATTACAGAACTCCCGTGGATGATCAGAATGGTACAGCATTTTTGCAGCCGCTGTCGAAGAACATGTTGAAGTTGTGAGCTATTTAATAGAGCATGGGGCTAATGTTAATGGGAGATCTAATAAACAGAGCACTCCGTTAATTATAGCAAGTTTTTGCAATAAAAATGTTGTAAAGTGCCTCATTCAACATGGAGCTAATGTTGACAATCGCGACGAAACTGGTTTTACGGCGGTGTATTATGCTGTTTTAGGCCAGGAGGAGCGAGGACGTTAGCAACATGAAACTGAGAAAAATGGTAGAAAATTTAGTTAAAAGAAAAGAATGTACGAGTAAAAGGAAAATTGATGCTTTAGAGCTTCTTGGTGCATCAATTGCGCTGTCAGAGAACGCTGTGGGGGGATTTAGTTATTTGAAACGCGGCATGGAAGAAAGATTCAACGAGGGCGTATGGAAAAGCCGGAATCCGGAACCTGAGCCGGAAACGGAACCGGAGCCGGAACTTAAATTGAGACCGGGGTAAACTAGGAGGCACTGAAACCAGTTCCCGATACCCGTGTGGAAATAAAATTCAAGATGGCGTCCTCTGTTATCATTGTTTTGAGAAATTTTTAACACAGTGATCGTGATACCAAAGATATACTCACATTCGTGACTTGCAAAAATAAAAAAACATAACCACTAAAATTCAAAGACTCAGCCCATGCTGTTCCGCCGCAGACTCGAGCATAAATTCAAGGCACAACAACTTCACATTTTGAAATGTACTCACATTTCAATCGATTCGTCGCTTTGTCGCGATCTGTAAACGAAAACAGATATGTTTTTGTAAAATGGTAACGGAATGAAAACTTTTATCTTCTTACTCGTACCTTTTCTTAAAAGGGCTCCGTGTTTCATCCATTGTGAGGGAAAGGCGGCAAAGGGAGGAGGAGTACTCATGTCAATCATGATCCCAAGTTGCAACGCTCATGCGTATATGAAATTCTCGAAGAAAACGATGTTGCGCCGTACGCAAAAAGTGCGACAGTAAAAAATGTAATAACAATAAATAAATATAATGTGGGGATGAAAAGTCTTGATCGAGCAATTACTGTTAGTGACACTCAAGACAGAAACGTCTCCTATTTTTATTTCTTAGGTTCGGGTTCCGGTTCCGGTTCCGGTTCCGTTTCCGTTTCCGTTTCCGGCTCCGGATTCCGGCTTTTCCATACGCCCATTCAACGACCCTGCTCTTCCTGTATTAAAACAAGCAGTCAGTCCTGTTAAAGCTTATCAGAGTAAATAAGAAAGCCACTCCCTTGAAGAGCTAGCTCTTCTAGAAGGAAATGAAGAAGCTATCATTATGGAGTGTCTAATTGCTAGAGAGAGAATCTGTGGTCCCAGTAGTATGGCTCTAATTGCTCCTATTATCAGTAAGGCTACCTCTATCTCTCAAGGTCGGTCTTCGGGCAGGTTAGATGTGGTTCATAGGATGGATGTAAGCACTTATTAGATGTTGCATGCAATTGAAATAAGCGTTGTAATCAACCGTTCAAAAAGTACTTGGAAGCTACAATGGATCTGTTTGCAGCGATGATTAAAGAAGAGTTGATGCCAAGAGAAAAGGATGTAATTGAACTGTTGGCAAAAATTGTCTGTGAGTACAAGAGAGGGACAAAATATATTGCTTTTTCACGCAATGATTCTGCTTAAGTTTTTCTGCCAACTGACACTCCGTGAAAAGAAACATGACCAACTTTTCTTCTCGCATTTAAGGGAGTTTCTAAGCCTCAATCCAAAGGATCAGCTTGGAAATACATTGTTACACTTAGTGGCCTCAACGCGTGAACCAATTGTTTTCCCGCTTAGGTTTTATACGTCGTTTTAAACACCCTCTGATTCAAATGTTCCATTTACCATGCATTTATTTCATGAGAATGATTCTTGATTACAGACCTGGCCTGGTTGATGTTGCAAATAACAATGGTGACACTACCCTTCATCTGACCACAAGATTTAAATCTGAAGTTGAACAGGTGCACATTTTGATTGATATGTTGCAAGTGTTGCATGGCAAAGGTGCGCATCATGACTATGTGAATAATGAGGGTAAGACACCCATTGATGAAGCTGAAACCCAAGTGGCAAAACGCTTTCTTTCTGACACGAGCAGAATAAAATTACAGTGCATTGCTGCCATTGCAGTCAAGAGATTTGGACTCCCTTGTTATAACATAGTCCCAAAGGTCCTTGAAGAATTTATTGACAGGCATTAGTTACCTCAGCAATCAGAACTAAGCCTTTGATGATATTGTCATTCACAAAATGGCGGAAAGCATTTTTACAGTCACTTGCAACGAGTTCCTGTGTTGCCAGCAATAGAATGTATAGCTTTCAGATTCAACAGTGGAGGGAAAATAAACCACTTGTGTTCCTGTTTTGCTCTACATGTGCAGAGACATTGCTTTTGATTGTTTAAAGTTTTGTAAATGATTTGTTTGAACAATTTTAAAAGAAAAGTCATCGTTATATACTTTTGTAAGGAATGTCTGTCAGATCATTTCGGAAGTGACAGAAAACACTTTTAACCACTTTGCAAACAGTTTCTAGTTGTGTTGCCTGTGAAGTGAAATAGTAGGTACAACTTTCAGTTTCGACCATGAAAGGAAAATTAACCGCTTGTGTTCCTGTTTTCCTCTAAATATTCAGTTTAACAATATTTGATTTTCTGATCTCATAGAAAAATGTACCAACATGTGCCATGCAAATACAGATGCTTTCATTTATTTAAAAGCTTTGTAGATGATATATTTGAACAACTGTTAAAGAAACGTTAGTGTTATATCTAAATAAATTTGTATGGATTGTTAGCCAGATCAGAGACAGACTCGTACACAGTCGCTGTTTTTGTGTTTTTGGGTTGAGAAAAGATTGGGGTTAGATTGAGGAGCGCGGGGACTCATGGGAAGAGTCCCTTCCCATGAATCCGAAAGAGGGGGACGACGTTGATGAGAGCGAACAAGTTGGTTAAAATGTTCTGAAACGGGAATAGGATTGCTTAGATGATTGTAGTTGAGGATGAAGTGGCGATGTCAGTTTCCAAATCTCTTAATGAATTGTTGCTTGGTCTCTCTCAGTACTGTCAGTTAAGTTTTTGGATTTAAATTTAACCAATCCAAAAAATTTCCATTGGGCATTCATTATGCTTTTAAAGCAGATCTATTTTATATTCTTAATTGTCATAAAACATAGAATGTAATAAAACCTTTAACCAGCACAACATGGATCGAAATCAACCAATTGTAACATAAAGACGTGACCTTTTAAACCAGCTGAAGAAAACCTATATTTATGGTGGCGAAGAAATTGCTGGTAGAGGACAAAATAACAGCTTGGGTCAAACAAGTATGTCTCCTGGGTAAAGTTTCGAATAGAAAAACATTGTTTGGTGAAACATTTTGCTTTCTTGAAAAACGTTCCCTATCAATATTTAACTTTGTACTTCGAGTAACTTATTGTTTTCTGACGAGAGGCATGCTGATTGGCCCACAACCAATGCAACTTTCTCGGAATGTATTGTCATTTTCCTTTGATCCGATTGGTCAACTTTGTCCAGGTTGCCCCGCTTACAGTAGTCGCACTGTAAGCATAATTTCCATAAGAAAACAAAGGAGGTTTATATCAAAACTAGATCAATCTCAGCCTCACATTCACTCGAAGATTATGGTACTAAAACACACAACTGTAAAATGGTCTATTCAAGAGATTCGAATATCATAATTCTCACTCGTTCAGATTGTTCTAGAAAAAATGTCGATCTGGTTACGCAAAAAACTTCGCCTCTCAATATTATACACTCAATGTCAGATCCCCTGGGAAACAGTTTTGTTTTCCCGAGAGTCTTGATTTTTCGTCGAGGGAAACATCAGGACTCGAGGGAAGACAAAAAAACTGGTTTCCCGAGTGACCTGACATTAAGTGTTTTGTTACATTTCTAGACTTTCACTTCATCAGCAACAAAAGAATAACCGGAGCGAACCAAAACAGTCGACTCGGTACCAATAAGGGGCCGACCATTTAACTCTTGAGGGGCGGGGGGCGTGGTTGATTTCGAAAAAAAATTTCCTGGAAGCGCTTGTCGGAAAAAAAAATTGCATGCAGCACAAATGTAATAGAAAGCTTATGGGAAAAAAAGGGAAAAAATATCCTGCCAACCAGGTTTCTAGAAAAAAATTATTGATGACCAGAAATCACCCCCCCCCCCCCCCCTCCAAGAGTTAAATGGTCGGCCCCTAACAACACAAATTTAATTTTCAAAACCACTGAATGAATAATTTACAAAGTACTTTTCTTATGTTATCCTCATCTTTTTTCCCCACTAGCTGCTGTTTCTCTTCTGGGATAACTTTAAAAATCGTTGCTTTCTAACTTGAGGCTTCGTGTTTGTGTTGTTGTGTTCATTCACGAAAACGAAAACTGGCAGTGTTTTTCCCGCCTTCTGTCACGCCACTTTCCACCATGCTTTGATCACACGCTGTAATGTATTCCAAGCAGGGTAGGGTACATTGCTTAATGTATTACGATCGGGAAAGCGATCTGGATACATTTGATTCTAGTCAAGGCCACGTGACCAAGAATCAACCAATGGCAGTTCCTGTTTAGTTGAGTGAAAGTCTAGGAATATAACAATACCTCATCTAAAGCGTCACAAAACCCGGACTAAAAGGAAAGTTATGTTTACATAAAGTCTTATTTTATACTTGTCTTTATGAAGTATTTATCTAGCCATCACCCGCTTTTGCATTGTGCTGAGTTGACATACAGATATGAAACACACACACACAATTCAATTAAGTAACACATGTCGAGCTTACAGTATTTTAATAGTAAAACAATTATATAAAAAGCGAAGTTTCAATAAAAAACAATATTTTTATGCAGTAACTCCATCCTTGGTAACTTCAAATGGCTGTGGTACATCCATGGCTCCACTTTGAGTAATCTCTACTCTCTGAACTGGGTGGCTAACTGCATCCGTCTTAACATTCTCAATCTTTTTTACTACATCCTACATGTACGAAAAAAGTTAATTTTCGAGGGCATTAAAATACAGCAACTAGACTCACAAAGCCTCTTTAAATTACTTCGGTGAACCACCCATGCCAGCCCAGTGCCAAAAAAGTAATATACAGTGTAGATATCAAGTTTATGAGGTAATGCTTGGATAAAGATCTAAACCCCTAAGCAGGAATCAAACCCTGGACCACCCGGCTGGCGGCTGAACTATCATTGACTCCGTTGCCGGGATAGCCAGGCTCCATTACCAGCTGCTGTTCCAGAAAATCGAGCCTAATGGCGGTGACATCTCTTCAGTACAAACAGAAAGTAAATGAGAGATCCATTATATACGCTAACTTTTGAAAAACTCTTTATTAATGGTTCATTTTTATCCTCTGTAAGTGTATGTTTTTGGCTTTTGATAGTTAGGATGGAAACGGATTGAAACTTGAAAAAAAAATGGGAGAACGTTTTCAAGTTAAGCTGCTTTGTTGTCGAAAAATGGCCAAAACTTATCATGCTTCTTTTCCCTCGGATGAAACCATTTGATACTGCAGTGTATCGCGTAATGTCACGTGACATATGTAAGAAAATTGCTTATTATGGGAATAGAGAGGGGTAGTCGTTGCGTCTCGTTGCGAAGGTGGTAAAATTTCAAATCCTCCAAATATAGCAGAAAAAACGAAACACTTGACACTGTAGGACTTTCCCGTGCCCAGTTTCTCACAAGAACAAAATGGCAGCTCATACTTTTCTTCCATAGTTCGACAATGCAAATGGCCGTCTCTGTCAAGAAAGATTGTTAAGATCCAGAAATTTTGCTCCCATGGTAACGTGACGTCACACTTCTATATTTTTAGTTGAGCACGTGGCTGTTAGTAATTGCTTGTTCGTTCGTTGTATAGTTCCTCCGGTAAATACATTTCTAATCATTTACGTTTGATTTAGAGTTTCAAGTATGAGGGAAAGATGGCTCAAGAGTATATTTTAAGCTCAGCTTTGACCAAAAAATGCCGATCTCACCATGAAGCAAAGCCTCTTTAAGCGGTATGAAGTGCGCCATTGTATTCCCTCTAGTGGGCAGTAATATCTGACTTCCCGTGATGGACACTTTCGCTTGGTCTACAGTGTGTACATTTAAGAGTGTTTCGACTTAAAAACAAGCAGCAATCTTTTCAAACACCTACCATTCCTTCCAAGACTTTTCCAAAGCACACGTGCTCTCCATCTAACCAAGGTGTTTTGACTGTTGTGATGTAGAACTGTGATCCATTAGTATTTTTGCCAGCATTTGCCATGCATAACCAGCCTGGACCAAAGTGCTTCACATCGAAATTCTCATCATTAAAGTTTGTTCCATAAATACTGTAACCTAGAAAAATATCGACAGTAATCTCAGAATACTAATTCCACTTGGTATCCTAATGAAACAGAAAATGGTCAAGGGCGTTGGAATGAACAAAACATGCATGGTAATAAACGTTACAATGTATTTTTTGAGACAGACATTAAAACTAGCTGGCAGTAAAAAGTAGAATAGTCCTACCTCCTGTACCATCTCCTTTGGTAAAATCTCCTCCTAAAAGTAAGAAAAAAAATCCTCAATGATTTCTGAATACTCGCAAATACGGTTATATTCGCATTTGACGGCTAAATAAGCGAAGACAAAAGATGTATTAGAGTGTCAATTTTTTAACACATCATACCCAAACATCATCACCCAGGAACCATTTTGGAACTAATTTAATAATCTGCCTTCTTCACCATTAATTATTTCGACGAAATCAGTGTTAACGGACTTACTTTGCTTTTTTATATTTCCGTTCAGTATGTGACATTATTTAAGGCTCCCAAAAGGTATGAAAACTCCATGTAAATCGCTTGAGTGCAGTTTCTCAAAGATCGGTTAGAGCTAACTGAAATGTATTTATTTAGAATTTAAACCCGCCATTGGGCTTAACACATTAGCCCGAATGAACATCAAAGTAACTACATAATTTAATATGACTGCTTTTCTTACAAATCAGATCCAAATTTCAGCATACCTTGAATCATGAAGTTTTTGACCACTCTGTGAAAAGTACTTCCTTTGTAACCGTAGCCATACTAAAAAACAGATTTAGAAGAATCACATTTAGTAAGTAGAATTGGTAAAAAAAAACCTTTCGAAATAAGAGACTGAGGCGTGCTGCTGAAAATGGATAAAAAGGAAGAAATGAAACTTTAAAATAACGCATTTTTTGTTTGATTCCGGGAAATCCGTAACTGAGAAGGAGAAACAGAATAGCTAATGAATTGTTATTCTGCTGTTATTCTCCCTGTAATTCATGTGTAATTTACATACATGGAATTAGCGAATATGTCTCAATGTTTTCATTCATTGTTATTTAATTTCAAAAGTTTCGTAAAAGTCTGTCGTTGCAAAGTGACGATTAATTTCCAAACATGATGAACTTCAAGGAAAGAATATTCCCTTTTCTACGTAACTTATGAGACAGAAGGGAATAAACTCACCTCGTTTCCCGCTAAAGATACAAAGTTTGTGACAGTCTTGGGAACCGTGTTGCCAAATAAACCCAGGACAATCCTACCGGCGGGCTGTCCTCCGATGCCAATGTCGAAAAAAACTTTCCGAGTCACAGTCGTGTCTGGATCCGCTTTCACCAACATCGCCATATTTAACAGGCAAAACAACGAAACCTTTAAAATCATGGTCATGATGATCTGGTCTCAAAACCTAACTAAAAAATTTAAAATGTTTTTCTCTAAGTAAGTCAGTTTTACAAGACAAGAAAATAAAGAAGATATTAAGATTTAATAACACGTGTCACAGATCACGTTAGCCATTGGAAGGTTAAGTTGACGAGAAAAAACGGATCTTTGTTATGGGCAGGTACTTTTCCATTTAAACAATTACCAGCTTTTAAGTCGTCCCCAGACTTCTGCGCTTAATCGATATTATATTTGAGTTTTGAAGCAAGAAAAGATTAGATGCGAGTGTGGGGAACGCACGCAGAGAGTCGCGACTCGCTTCAATCACCCGAAATTAAAACTTATCACCGCCTGAGTCAAAAGTCAAAGCCGAGCCATGATCAGTGTTAAAAAATTCAGTAAACAGTGAATGTCAGATACAGAAAAACCTGCAGTAAAAAAAATAATAATAATAAATGCACTTTGTTGGAGTGTCAATATACTAAGCAGGAAAGTGCTAATTGGGGACACTTTTTTTGCGTCTCCTTCTGGAGACGGGACCGCCATTTTACGTGGTCATCCGAGCCACGCGAAGGTGTAGCCGCTTGCTGTGCAAAAGAAGTACCTAGTTCATTTCTCAGTTATTTTAAGACCCTGAGTAACGGTCCGGCCCCGGGAATCGAACTCGCGACCTACCGCTCAGTAGACCGGCGCTCTCCCAACTGAGCTAACCAGGCGGCGGTTTGTATAAATGTTTGTATGTATAAATTCAGCTTTGAATGTACTTATGCATAACAGTATCTGATAAAAAATGTTACCATGAGTTACCATTGTTTTCTTCTTGTCTATGAGTTGCTCACAAATTCTTAGGGGTCCATTCACTGAAAAATGTGCGATACACTTCATAGACTATAAATTATAAACGTTACAACAACTTAAAACCTTTTTTAAAAAAGGCTAACTCGGGTTCGAAAAGCTACGAGTCTGTCGGTAGAAGAAACGAGAACTGTTTCAATTTTAACAAACGTTTTCGGCAAAAATAAAGAAAACGCTTGTTGAAAAACTTCCTGGTCGCAAACTCCCAAAATAAACTCTTTGCACAAGTAACTGGAAAGAGGAGGAGAGACGCTGGGCTTGAAGTGCCAGTAAAGTACATTCAAGCGGGTATTCAAGGCATGAATTTAATACAGAAACAAGTAATAATCCACAGCATAAGGGGACAAAGCTCGAGCTTTATCCTCTCTTGTCCACAGAAAGGAGTTTGTTCCCACTAACGATTGAAAGCCGGAATCCAAGTTCTACCAAGACAGAATAGATCATAGTCTCTTGGTTCTACTGACAAAGACTTGAATCCAGTACCTGGAATCTGGAATTACTTACCTAATTTATTGTCTTTTCTTAGCTCTTGTGGAGTTGATAACTTACCGTTTTCAGTGTCTGGTTTACTTACTTTTTCAGCTTCATGATATCGGGCGTTATTATTTCCTTACCTACTTACTCACTTGGTTATTTACGATGCATGTTTTCAAGATTTGACTGAGACGCACATTGAATGGCTTCCTATTGTCAGGTTGTCCTGGTTGCCATGTAGGTGGAGAGAACAAGAAGCTATATTGAACCCTCTGGGTTGCCGTCTCAGTTGTAAAAAGAAAAGCATTAAGCGAAAATCTTGCTTCGAGGAAGAGACTCCTTTCTGTGGATTATTACTTGTTTCAAAAATTAAATTCATGCTTTGAATACCGCTTGAATGAAGTTTCATGCGCCTATTTACATTTTCTTTCAGTTTTGTCGAAAACATTTGTTAAACATAAGAGTTCTCGTTTCTTCTACCGACAGACTCGTAGCTTTTTGAGCCCGAGTTCGCCTTTTTTTAAAAAAAGGCTTTAAGTTGTTGTAACGTTTATAATCTGTAGTCTATGAAGTGTATCGCATATTTTTCAGTAAATGAACCCCTAAGCATTTGTGAGCAATTCATCGACAAGAAAAAGCAATGGTAACTTATCGTAACTTTTTTATCAGATACTGTTATGCATATTAAAGTATAACTGGGCCCGATAGAAAGAAAACAAAATAAACTTGCGGTGAATACAGAAGTCGGCCAGCTTTTTCTTTTAGGTCTTTTCTTGAGACATTATTTTGTTGACTCTAACATCCGTAACCTGTAAATTGGCTACCGTGGAGTATCGTGCATAAAAAAGAGTTTTTCCCTTTACATTTTGTTCATATCAGCCGCTTTCACTCAGACCTCGACCTCCAAATCATTTTCACCTGCCGCGGCATTGGACACGCGACCGCGACTTTGGACCCGCGACCGCGACTTTGGACCCGCGACCTGCGACCCGCGACTATTAGTCAAACTCGTAACTAAGTGACAGGAAATAATTGCGCCCGACATCATGAAAAAGTAAACCAGACACTGAAATTAGTAAATAATCAACATCACCTGAGAAACAAGTCCTGAAAGACAATAAATTAGGTTAGTAAAAGCCTGTATGAACTTTCCAAAACGCTCTCATCTAAGCTTACGCTTTCGATTTCCTCCTCCTTCTGTCAACCACAAATGAGTAAACAAACCATCAAACCAGCTCTGAACAAGACATAAAGAGTTTAAAACTTGAAAGTACACGACGTTTCAGTTGTCGGTATACAAAATGAATTCACATGTTAAAACTTTGACCAATCTGCGACCAGATCTAATTAAATTGGTCCTGGATCATGATCAAGCTAAAAGCCAGCCAAATTACCTAGCGTCTATATAATTTGAGGGGTCTACGCTGGGGCGTTGACTAGAGAGGATGCGTTTTAAAGATAGAGGCGTATGTTCTCATAACTGTTACAAGCTTAAAAGCTAAATATGCTTACGGCAAAGATATCAAGAGAATTTAAGAATAGCGGAATATATCGATTCATATCCCAACATCGATGACAGAACCCTTTAGACTATCCTAACTAACTTGGGCGGATCCAGTGGAGAGTTGAGGGGTTTGCAACCCTCCCCCCCACCCCTCTGGGAAGTTTTCAATCCTATCTGGGTACCCATATCTACCCTTTTTTCATACCAAAAATAATATTACAAGTTATAATATAAGTTCCAGTCCAATCGATCATTACAAGAAGACTAGTTATTCCTCTTCTTGACTCCTTAAGATCGATTTTGAGGGCCTCAATGGGGTTAACCGATAGGCGTAAAACGGCCAAAAATTTAGTCGATAGCAGTAAAAATTGAAAATTTTTAACCGTTAGCCGTAAATAGAGTAAAAAAGAGTTAACCGTAAAAGCTACTGTTCCCTAGAATTGCTACTTTTAAGGGAGGTACTAAACTCACTTATGGTTGCGTCTTTTATTCCCCGGCTAGTGTGACTCCGTCCGCACCTGAGGGGAAGCACCTTTTAGGTGTTGACCAAGACCTAGGTATGCTCCATTTCCGGCACTCTCTCGGGGAACTAATTTTTTTCCATAGCGAAAGTGTGGTTTCGTGCTTGGGATTAATATTTGCGATTTTCAGGAGGTCGTGCCCTCGAAACACCAGTGAAACAACACGCAGAGATGTCATTGTTTGTAACACGTTGCGATAAACAATATTTCCCTGTTTTTCTCTGACGCTACGGTTGACATTGCCATGCCGAGTCCTTGTACGGCGTCTTCCCACGCAATCTCGGTCAAGGCATTTCGGTGGCGAACTCGCTACGACCACGTGATCCGAAACGCATTAGCCGCGCGGAATGATGAGGCCTACGGACAAGGCAACGGCAGAGAGTCGTTCCGTACAGTCCTTCGCTATCATTAAAAACACTGCACACGGGAATTTTGTTATTGGCCGTTTTCACACTAGAGCTAGAAATGGATTATCCGTCTGAGACTAGCCTGTCTACAGTCGCGCCCTCCCCACAGACACCCCTTATCCGATTTTTTCTGAGGGGAGGAGGCGGTTGTACACAGACTATCTGGAACGGATAATCCCGTCTTCAAACTGTCCGTCGAAAACGACGGATATAGTCAGGCGGATTGTTCATTCAAAATTAAAAGTATTCCATTTTCAAATTAAGAAATATTACCTACTTGACGCGAATCATCAAACGGATAACCCGTCTCATACGAATAATCCGTCTCTAGTGTGATAACGGCCATTTCTGAATAATGAATGTCGCGCCCCAGCCTTAAGTTGAGCGTTTGCGTGTCCGCTTTTGCTTTTTCACAAAGATTATTTTTAAATTGACTATTGACATTTCTATGTGTATGATGATCCGAAGACCTTTATTATAAAGATACAAAAAAATACAGATTAATTAATATTTAACTTTTTGAAACAAAAGAAGTTAATTTTTAACTTTTTTTTGTTAACCGATAGCCGTAAAAGAGCCAAAATTTTAGCCGATAACCGTGAAAGCTAACACCCTATTGAGACCCTCTAGAAAGTGTGAGAGTAAACATTGGTTTTCCTGTGGTGTGGACGGACGGTCGGGCGTACGGTCACATGATTACCAAATTTTCTGGGATGGGTAGATTACCACATTTCCTTAGCTATGTGGCTCCGCCCACGCGCGCGCGGGTGGAGCTCCGCTATTACCATTACTTATAATGCGCCAAATTCCTCTGAAATCTAAATGAAGAAAATCTACAGATTCAAACATAACCCTTACCCTCCCAACCCTCCCCCATTCCCTTGGCCTTGGGACGTTTGCCTTGAATTCTCAAAATTACAACCCCCACTTTGAAAAGATCCTGGATCCGCCCCTGTTAACTTTGAACTTGACATTGAACAAGATGAAATACGCAATGAAATCCTTGTTAATCAAGAAAGAAACTGAATGAATCGAATGCGTTTGCTGTTCTCATCTAATAGGCATTAGCTGATCTAGCCTGTGGTTGATCACGTGATCAACTTTCAGTAAACACGAAAACAGTTCGTTTTTAAAGAAGTTTGTCAGCAACCTGCTAGTTTTCAGCCATATATCTCAAAATATAGCGATTGCCACGGCCGCAGAAAATTAGAAAGATTCGTATGCCACCCAGTCACCTCTCTGTCTTTTAAACGAGTAGTGTAGGAGCTGTTCGTAAGGTCTCTCCTATATAACTGGTCGCGGGAAACAAGTACATGTCATTTTTTCAATTGTTTTAGTATTGTTTGGGATCAGGTTTAGGCAGCATTGGTGACTTCTCTTCCGAGGAGCTGTTACATGACCCTTTTAAAGGCCTCCTGTCTAGTAAACGCCCGTTTCCGTCGTTTCCTTCTTAGTTGTTAGAAAAAGAAAGCAAAGCGAAAACCTCGTTTCGAGGAACGTTCTTCTGGTCCATGACAGCCTTAAGACTTTTATCGCCTTTCTTTTAATTATTCTGACTTTTTTCCATAATTCATGCCTTGAATACCGCTTGAATGAAGTTTGGTGGGCCCTTTTTTTATTTTCTTTATATTTGTTGAAAACATTTCTAAATATGAAAGAGTTCTCGTTTCTTGTACCGACAGACTCGTAGCTTTTCGAGACCGAGTGAGCCATCTGAAAAAAAAAAAAAGGTTTTAAGTTGTTGTAACGTTTATCATTTGTAGTCTATGAAGTCTATCGCACATTTTTCAGTGAATGCACCCCTGAGCATTTGTTCGGGTTTAAGCAATTTAAAGAACAAGATTTAAGAGTAGCCGAAAAAGTGCTGTCCCACGTCAGTCCCCAAAGAAAACAACGGTACCTTACGGCACTTTTTTCTATCAGATACTGTTACGCATAAGTGTATTCAACGCTAAATTTACACATTCCTTATTCTTACTAATTTTCGCGCGTACTTAATTTCGCGAGTACTAATTTCCGCGATTGCGAACAAAATTAGAGAAAAAGGGTACTTAATTTTGCGATTCTGTCTTTGTTTTTATTTTCGTAAATCCTGAGCAGAGGGCACTTGTCACAAATCAATAAAACTATATATTTCAAACAAGTCAAAGCAAGATAATTGTTATAATTGTAAACTTACAAGTGCCCCACACATAACCTTATGAACAAGACAAAATACAACTGTTTCCTGTGTATGTTGTCGATGTAATGTACGGTTCAGTGCTTAAAACGCAACTTAAGATGTTCAGTAAGTGTGTGGAGTTCAAAAAACACCCGGACTCAGAACATTTTAAAAATTCTTATTGATTTGTTTTCGAAAATGGTATTAAATTTCGCGCAATCTTTTGTTTGCGCGCATTAAATTTGGCGAATTTTTTAAAATCGCGAAATTCAATACTCGCAAAAATTAGTAAGAATAAGGTAGCTGGGCCAGACAGAAACAAAAAAAGTAACACTTACGGCGACCACAAAAGTCGGCCACCTTTTTCTTTTAGGTCTTTTCTTTAGACAGTATTAATTTATATTGACTCTAACATTCGTACCCCAAAATTGGCTACCGAAGAGTATCGTGCATAAAAACGATTTTTTTCCATTACATTCATTCAGTTGCCTCGAACTCAAACTTCAATTTCACGCAAATCATTTTCCCCATCCGCGACTTTGGATCTGCGACCTCGACATTGGACCCACGACCGCGACTTTAGACCCACGACCGCGACTTTAGACCCATGACCGCGACACTAAACCCGCGACTCGCAAACTTCAAACCGGCGACCCGCGACCATTAGTCAAACTCTAGAAAGTGAGATTGGGTCTCTGTCAAGAAAAGAAACATTACTGCGTTGCTTTGAGTACTAAAAAAATGTTTGAAGCGCTAAAAATAAACTAATATATAAAAAATGGACGGTGATGATTTGTAAGATGTAGATACAATTATTAGCCAAAGCTGCCAAGAAAAACAGACAAAGCTAGTAGAAATGTGAAAACCTAAACCAGAGCTCAGAAAAAGTGAAACTAGTGAAAGATGACGAAGCGTGGCGTGGTGTAGTGCTTTGTACAAGATTACAAGCAGACTTGTTTGAGCGCAGGAGCCGATTAACCGTCTATCGCGCCGGCTCCTGTGAATAGAAAGGATGGTCCTAACTTGTTAGTTATTTTTCAGTCACCTTGACACTGCTGACTAAAAGATCAACGCAGGTGCGAGCATTAAACATCAACGACAACAGCAATTAAGAATTTCAAACCAATTTTCCATCTTGTTTCCATCTTGAGCTATAAGCTTTGCTGGGACATCCAGTCACTAATCTCAGGGTGACTTCGCGTAAGAACACGTGAGAATCTGAATAACCATCCAATCAGCACAAAGTTTGCCATCTTTATTTCAGCTCACTGAACCCTTTCATTGTCCTTTGTTCTCATATGAGTCCAGCAAGGATAACGAAGTTATTGCTTGGAGAGCTCCAGATTTTCTTGACTTGGCAAATTTTGTTACGGACAGTTGAAATGAGTAAGAAAAAAAAAAAAAATACAGTCGAACCTCTCGGTACGGACACGTCTCTAATACGGACACCTCTACATTACGGACAGTTTCCAATGTACCGACAAAATTCTCATACATTTTCTTAAAAGAAAACCTCTATAATACGGACTCTCTCTAATACGGACAACGGACACTAAATCTCGGCAAAAGAGAGTAAATTCGTATAAACTTAACCTCTTTATTACGGACACTGTGATCAGGTGAATCCCGAGTCGAGATCAGGTGAATCCCGTCTGGTTGATGAGCTATGCAAGGTGACTTCAAAAGCCTGTCGCTGTATATCAAACGAAAATTTGCAAAAGGTGTACAGAGGAACATAACCGACTTTTATAAGGCTTGAATAACTACAGATAGCATAAACACCTTTTCTATTACATTTTGTACTCTAGTTACCGTTTACTGAACTTGCAAAATATTGTGCTTTACGTTCCAACTTTTTACATGCAGCATTGCGCAGTAGCTAGTTTCGTTTTGAAACAGTGATTTTTCTACGACTGTACCAGTACGCAGCTGATATGTACAATGTTGTATGCTATTGAAAGATAGTGTCTTTGTACTGTGAATTAATAAACTTAAATGCACTTTAAAGACGAGTGTAAGCCTGGTTTTTAGCTACTGAACACATAAAACTGTAAGAGGAGTTATAAAAGTGACGTCATCGTAGTGACCTCTTTAATACGGACACCTCTCTAATATGGACACTTCACTCTGTCCCTTCGTTGTCCGAATTAGAGAGGTTCGACTGTACAAGACATATTTTGGACCTTGTTTTACATCTGTAACTTCGATCAAAGTTTCTAGGCAAGTCCTTTATTTTCAGACAAGGTATTCACGCTGTCTTTTCCGTTAGTAGTATGCAGCATGCAGCTCTGCGACTTTCTCCAGCAAGAAGATATGATTGGCATATAAACTGAGCTGACCACTGACCTCCTGCCATTGGACACCGCAGGCGTCATCACCAGCCTTTCAAAAAACAGATGCAAGAAGAGGTTTTAGCTTACAGGAATCAGTGGTGTTGTGTGGTTGGTTTATGGTTTTCGCTCAGGCGAATACTAGCGCTCGAAACGCCAGCTTCTCAGTCCCCTTTAGCTACGGTACCAAATCTACTTCATCAACTAGTTCTTTGTATTTTAGTAGTCAATATTCAATATTACTTATGTAACATACTTTTGAATACACTGAAATTTCAAGAATCTACTGTTTTTGGATCATCTTGTCTGTTTTTTCAGTGCCTTGAATAGTTCATATTATCATCAACTGAGTTTAATTACAAAGGAAACGATCGTGATACCTTCAAATTTCTGTCAAAAATAAAGAAATCTCATGTCTGTTACCAACTGAAGCAAAATAAAGGTAGAAAAACCTAAAACAAAAAATTTATCTTTCGAATTGACACTCAGTGCAAATTCCCACGGACTCAAAGAAAGCTTTTCTTTCAGCTTTTATTCTTGATTTCACGTTACAACGTTCCATGCCACCAGAAGCGTAGCCCATCCTGCTAGCACAGCCTGGACTACTTAATCTTGTTTTGTCTCGTCAAACTGGGTTTCCTAGTGCGAGCATCCATGTATTGATAAACCGATAGTCAGAAACTGTGCCCGAAGCGCTGTACCAAGCGCATGGCCATTACGCCCGGGTTCGAAACTGTATTAATTCATGAAATAGATTCATGCAGAGTAGTTCAGCTGAGTCTCTCGCGAGTATGTCAAAATCGAGCGAATGAAAGAAAAATCCATTGATTCCCTGTAACGAAGGCCCGGTGATTTTTGTAAGTATACATACTTTTAATTGAATGTTGTCAAGAATATTTCCTGTGTCATCGTGATAATTCATTGCTACAGTCTCAATCCATGCATTGTCCGTGTTGCGAGGGTCGTCGACATATCCCTTGTAGACCTAAAAATTAAATTATTTCAACAATTTAAAGTTAAAGTGCTCATAACATAAAACTTTTTATGTTGTGTTACCTGACAACAAATTGACAAGCTCATGTGCGACGTCATAAAACGTAAATTCAGGAACTGAAAAACGGGATTTAATGCATGCTTATCCCTTTCTTAGGGTCGCCAGTGTTGTTACATCTAACTGCAACGAATTTGTCATATCTGTCATTTATTATTACTATTGTTACAATAACCATTGTTATTATTTTTATTATTTCTATTACTATGATCATTATCATTTAACTGCAACAAATTTATTATCATATTTATTATTATTATTATTATTATCATTATTATTGTTATTATTATTAGTATTATTATCATCATTATCATCATGATGACGATTACTATAACTTCTCAACCATGACCGAAGCTTTAGCTTGTTTATCTCATGGTTTCGCGCCTCTTACTTACCGCGATGCCATTGGAGAAAAGTTGTTCAAGGTTTTCAGTTATTAGTTGTCTTTCCTCCTGAGTAGCTCCTTCAGAACACAAAGCTTCCTCACAAAACTCCTTTCTAAGGGTTTTAGAAACGGTATCATCCACTTCAACCATTCCCTAACAAATACAGTCGTCTTTATTAGCGCAATATATTTAAACCCAGCTGCCAGGTCACGCTGATAAAATGGACAAACTCAGCTGTACTGCGTCAGTTTTTGTCACTTTTCAGTGTAAAGTATTTGCATTGTAATATTGTGCGTAACCTTTGTACTCTTTTGTGGTAGCCCGTATAATGACCATATACCGCATCAGGACAACCAAAAAACAAAAATACGGAAATGAGACTACGAAGCCCTAGCTGAAGAAATAAAAATAACATTAACCCCTTAACTCACTCCTGGTAAAGCCCATTGTAGATTGTCCCGTCTTTGGATGGCTACAAATTCTAAGACACTCTTGCCAAAACGTTCCATCACCGTTCCTTCGGGAGTTTTTTTCCATCTGTGAAAAGCGGAAACATACATATTGCGGAGTGAACATAATTCTTAACACTGAGAATTAGCTGGAGTCACCTAAAGCGAGCACACCGTGAACAGCTGCATTGGTAGAGATGAGGGTCCGCTATTCAGTCTCTTGCTCTGCTGACTGGTCGTGGTTTCTTTTAACCATTTTTTTCTACGTTAACCAGGGGATCCGAGTGCTGATGGTGTCTTGAACTACCCATAATACTACCATCTTTTAGGAATTTTGAATGGATTTTTGTTCACTTGGGTTTATTTCTGGCCGTGTTAGGGGTGAGATTTGCGTCCAAAAGAAAGTTTTACCTTTGACAGTTTAGGCAACCTGATTGCAAGTGACTCGAATTTCCTATGGATTTCATAAAAGTAAATTCACGTGAAGTAGGAGACAGGAAATGAAGGTAAGAAAGTCTAAGTGTAGCGCACCTTTGAGTTATGTAAGACGTAGCGAAAATACTTTTTGGCCGTAGTGTCGTTTAGGAGCTTTGCATGATGTATTATTTTCAGTGAAAGGTTTGAACCCAGAGTCATATCATAAGTAGGTTGAGTATGATCGTCCGGGTGAACGTAATCCTGAACAGGACTGTTGTTGTTGACAGTGAATGACATTTCGACAATCTGTGCGGTAGTTGTCACAGTTAAACAGTTGTTTATTGTTAGTCAAATTGTCAGTTGTCCAGTCCTTTCTTGTAGTTAGTTTTGCTTGATTTCGTCAATAAGTCGTTTGTACGGCGCCGGTAACTGTTGACTACGATTCAGTGGCGTTTGTTCTAAGTTACTAAACCAGCTTTCTAAAGTGAGTCGTTGATAGTAGTCTGTACACATCGCAGAGTTTCAGTTGCGCGTCTGTTGAACTACCCAACGTAAGTTTACACTCAAAATGCCACTTGTGAATTGAACTTTCATAACTTCATTGTTCAAATATATTTAATCTGTTTACGACGTGTAATAGTACATTATTTACCTCGTTACAATAGGGTCAGCGGCATGGTTTGGTCCCCAGCGTCCCAGAAGGCCCCTTCCAGCAATTCCCGTGCGGCCCATTGGATTTCTATGAAAAAAAGAAAACAAAACAAATTCATAATACGTCACAGTTTATATGAGATAGATAATATGGTGAATTATAAAAGGTCAATTCTGCTTGCCAAAATCATTCAAAGCAGGTTGCTAGGTATAGAGACCTGTAGTTACCAGTGGGTAGTTTTTTCCTTACAATATTTACAGTAACGCATATATTCATATAAACTGTTACGCTGATGGAGATGCGATTAAAAGTGTTAAAATGTTATAGTGTAAGGTGTGGTGTGATAGGTTACATAAATTAAGGTCAACATGTTATAAAGGATAACGTTCCTGGTTCCTATGCGGGTCAGAGCGCAGAACATCGGCCTTTGCGATTATCATTGTTAGTAGAGGGCAGTGTTAATAAAAGCCAAATTAAAAAAAGATGCTGTGTCTATCGAGAGCTCCTGACAGCACTTTTTACACATTCATCACTTTAGAAACTGAGCAGAAAACGAGGGCCTGTTTCTCGAAAGTTCCGGTAACTGTTTTATGTTTGTTGTGTTTGCATTTAAGATCACAGTTTCAATAATTTTGAAAATAATATAATGAAACTAGCAGTTATCGAAGCAAGTTTAACTGGTTTGTGGGCTAGGAACTGTGCTAATAATCAACAGGTTTTGAATTTAAAATTTGCCTTGGGGCCCGAAAAATTTCCGGGTCTTTCGAGAAACGGGCCCCAGGGTCGAGTTAACTTTTGCAAAGACTTCTGGGACTGTAGCTAGGGACAGGGGAAATATAACCAATAACTGACGGGTGCGTCCCTAGTAACTATCCCAGAAACAATTGCGGGACGCATTTCGGCTCCACTTCCTTTCTCGTTTCTTGATGTGTTTCTTAAGTAATTGGACTTAGAGGGGAATTCGAGTTAACCGAGTGAAAATAACTGAAAAGTGGGGTGGGAAATGGGATTTAGTTCGAGTTAGCGGAAAGTTCGGGTTATCCGAGTCGAGTTATCGCGGATCGATCGTATGGCGGACTTCATAACCAATGCGCCTTATTTGACCTTGGATTGACTTCGATTTTGCTCTAATAATGTTAAATATGTTTAACTTACCGTGGTACACCATTAACGACTTCATAAACACCTTGATAGCTTCTTCTGTCCACACCTCTACCAACATCGTTGAAATTTAGTTCTACATGTTTATACGCTGGTCTAAAGACATAATAGTAATAATATTAATAGAATAAAAAAAAAGAGAATGTTACTTCCTACCAAAAGCCATAGGAAGCGGCTATTAACTGGGAATTTCTACGGATATTTTTTGAGGTCTAAGATGAGAAAGTGCTAACATTTTCTGCAAATAATAATAATAATAATAAAAAAACGCGCATAGATAGACAGATAGAGAGATAGATAGATGCTTGTTTATTTTACCCAATTTCACCATTGATTGAATTGCTTGGTAGGCCAGCAATAAGTATACACAATTACACAATATCTTAATGTTTGACAGTAACAATATCATTTAGTTTATTATTCCGACCAAGTGCGGGTCTCGGATTGCGGGAACGAAGAGAGTATTCAGACTCATGCTACATGGGGGAGGGGGTAACTCAGTTTCATGAGGGGAGGAGGTTGCCCATCCTCGGAGACCTAGGGGCAATCAGTCGGGACGATAGAATGTTCGTGGTGAAAGTTTACTATAAGGTCGAGAAGAGCCCCACACCTTGTTCACATTGTCTAGTATATAACGCCAAGCTTACATTTTAGATCTCCATGTTCGTTGCACGACTTCTGAAACTTTCTAACCTTTCCGGCTTCGTCAACATTTGGTTAGGAAACTTTCCTCGTCGTGTAAGAAAAAACTAGAGTCGTCCGGCTTCGCTGATTGACCAGAAATTGTTTTTTTTTCTGGCCAATCAGAAGCAGGCGCTTCAAACGTTTCTGGAACTGGTGCGGTAAGAGTAAGTGCTCAGAGGCTCGTCTCGATCTTATAGTAAACTTTCACCACGAGCATTCTATCGTCCCGACTAGCAGCTCCTGGGTCTCCGTGGATGGATGTTGCCGTGCATTTATGATGAACTTCTGACAGGCAGCAACTCGCCTGCCTTTAAGCGCATAAATCAAACGCATTGGTAAAAACGTTTGCTAATATCAGGGGCGATCCTCTACAGCATTCTCATGACAACTCCCTGGTAGGAAAATTTTGGGGGCATTCAGTTAATGGTTACGGCGTAAAGAACACTGAACAGGAAAACACAGCGAGGGGTTGGGGATAGAGGGAGTTCCCTCCTCTCTCCCGATTCCTTTCTTTCTTCCTTTCTTTCTCCTCCACTCTCCATTTCGCGCCACTCTCTACTACCTGGAGGCCTGGAACAGGTTAGGGGATTGTTAAAGAAACGCATGTTGCAAGATTCCTGTTATAAACGGTGTAATATAGAAGGTATCTTTTTCTTTGAAAGATAAAAATTAAGATTTTTCAGGTCAAATTTAACGCATGTTTATTGACGTAAAGATAATTAAATCGTTCTTACTCCAAGATATCGATGTCCGCCCAGTCAGCCTGACTCATCACTTCAAACGCTGTATAATTTGGAGGAGCATATCCTGGAAACGGCATCTAAACAAATAATGACGTAGGTTAAGAGTAGGTAAAACTCGGCCTGGATTATTTGATCCACTTTATCAACAGCATACTTAGCTCTGTTTTAAATTGGTTTTGTGGGCACTGGGGCGGGGGGTTGGCACAAGAGCACTAGAATTCGATGGGGTTGTGGTGGTACACGAGTCACTGATCCCAGCCCACAGGTATTTGTACAAGATTTGTTTCCCCTCCAGTTTGTCCTACCGTCCACACGTATCAGGCGAAAACGGTTACCGAAAACGCATCTTTTCAAAAATACTTTCCAGAGTGGAGATTTTTGAAAACACTATTTTGTTGTACTCGTGTGGGTGGAAAAAACGGAGGTTTTGGCAATGGCATTTTTACGGTGTTAGATCCAGTCTATACCGCGCACGAGATTAGACGAAATCAACATGGCGGACAGACACACGGTACCGTTTTCAGTGACTAATGCGAGAAAATTTGCTCACGTCATTGTTTGCATTTTCCTCATCAGCATACGACTTAAAGCAAAGTCACTCAAAAGTTAAAGGAGCTGGTCGACGTGAACAATTGGCGCAATTTTCAGCTCTTTGCAAGCTACAATTGCTGGGTGGCAAAAATGTTAAAGGAGCTGTGTCCCGAAATTTATCAAAATTCAAACACCGGAAACCGCGGCGTCACTAATTGAAATTGAGTGAAACATAGAAATAACAGCTCAAAACATTTAAGGCCGGGAAGGTAAAAATAACACAGCAAATACAGAAGAAAGCACGGGTAGACAAACTTGAATGGTGTTATAATCATGTAGTAAGAAAATAATAAGTTCACGTTAATGAGGCAAAAACTGTAAACAAAGATTCTCCTATTCTCGCAAATTCTGCTCTTACTAAAACGGTCTTCCCAAAATAGGCGACAATTCGAAGGAAACATTGGGCGCTAGTTCGCCCGAAAAATAGTCCTGCATTGTAGGTTCGGTTTTCTTTTCCTAAAAATTACTTTCATTTTGCCTTTCTCGTTAAAGAGAAGGAATTTTGACTTAATCACCAAGCTACTCCTGCCATGCCACATAGCTACATTACGGAGAAATCAAAAGCAGTAAACTTACGATCGAATTGCACATATCAGAAGAAGAGTTAGGATCTGCTAGGGTGCTGTCAGTCAGTGCTTCTCTAATCTCTGATAATATTCTAGACTGAGGCATTATCAAATATACTGGGCTAATTGAAATGATCTGTTATAATATGGTACAAAGTCGAAAATATTGACTTACATCCCAGTCAACCAGGAAATCCGGAACCGGGTATCGTTGTTGGTTGCTTTTTGGATAAGGTGATTGCCTCGCTTGCACGTGGAGCCCTAGTCTCCTAGCGGCCGCAAATGCGTCGCTGAACTGCACATAGGAAGGGAGTGTGTTAGAGCGCCTGCGTCCAGGAGACTTACCATGGATAGCGGTGTTGCCTAGAAAAAAAAACTGAGAAGCTAACACGCAAAGCAAAATATCGGCTAGGAACAACGCCAAAGATGGCGAAAAAGGCAAAGGCAAACGAACTAAACAAGAACAGGAACAGAAGCTACTGTGTCCCATAAGAAAAAGCTTCGAACCCACCTGGCTTAAGTGTACACGTTCATACCGGCGCACCTACATTTGATTACTGTATTGGCAGTGCTTAATCAGATTGGGTTTACAAACCACTCGAAAAGCTTCAGTACAAAGAAGTTTTTGTTTAACACTCTATGCAAAGAGATGGTGGAATATGATTATCCACATTCTCCATCGTAACCTCTGTACAGGTAGAAGATACTCGCCTTTGCCGTTGTCCAGTCATATGATATCATTGGTGTGAAACTAAGGATTTTTAATGATCCGTAACACGTTTAACAGTCAAACAAACCTTGTAACTGAGTTGCGCCCTCGCTATCTGATCGTCTCAGTGGTGGCTGCCTTGGAGGATTGTGCAACATCTGTGTACTTTCCTTCGCCGACTGACTTTCGGAGGACAACAAAGGTTCATCTTGTATAATAGCCGTATTACTTCTTTTAAACTTCCGAATAGCTTTCTGGAGGCTTTTACGACGCCAGTTACCATAATTCGAAGCTTGACGATACCAAGAAGGGTAGGGGTTGCTATGAGGCACTTTGTGTCTGAAATACATCGGCGTAGAGCGAAGGCTTGAGCTGGTGCCGGCATGGTTCGCTCGGTGTACATAAGCCGGGACACTCATCATCCGGCTAAACATTCTTTGGGGAAGCCTCCTTGATATCATTTCCTCTGATTCACTCTTCCACGCGTCACCCTCTCCAGACGCATCTTCTGTTTCCCCAGAAGGGGAGGTGTGTGGATCGCGAATGTTCGCGAGCATGTCTAGTACTTGTATTGTATACTCTTCCATACGAGACAAGCGCTCTTCTATAGTATTCACCTTTTTAGTAATTTGCTCCACTTTTGTCTCATTTTCGCGACTGGTTTCTCTGAGATGACTGTTGATAAGTTCAACTCTGACAAAAAAATGTAATAATAAAATATTTGGAATAATCAAATAACTCAATATTGTGTTATGTGCCGACAGTTGTATGGCAATTACCCTGGATTCACTGGCAAGAAATGACAGGTGAAACCTCTTTTTACTTTCACAGTTGGAGGTCTAAATTTTTCGAACTGTGGAACCCGGTTAATACGGACACCAAAGGGTCATGTCATAGTGTCCGTATTATCCGGGCCGGTAATTAAAAGCGGACTCTTAAAAAAGCACTTCACGGACGCCCGTTTAATCGTTACAAATACCGAAGTATCTGTCTGAAATACAAGGGGACGTTCAACTATAACTTTTGCACTATCAAACTTTCAGTCGTTGAAATAGTTTCGCACTGAAATATATGTTCGCTCAGTGTCTCAAACGCGACAAGGTAATAGTTTCAAGTAGGACGTAACATTTACTATCGTTTCCACTTTGCGGCCTAGCCAAGCCAAGCTGATAGACTGTTTCCCCTTCTGCTGGGGTTCCCAGTGAGATATATATAGTGTGCAGCCACAAGTGTAAGTAAAGCGAGGCTTACTTTGTTTAAAAACACATCATTCGTGTCAGATTGGCCGTATTAACCAGTGCATAACACCACTCGGGTCAGATTGTCCGTATTAACCAGTGTCCGTAAAAAACAGGCTACCGTAAAATTCCGAAAATAAGCCCCTCCAAATATAAGTCCCCCAAACCGGTAACGCAAGAAAACCCTCCGTTAAATCGCCCCTCCAAATATAAGCCCCCCTCGGGGCTTGTACTTGGAAAATTGTCCTCAAGTACAAATTAAAACAAAGTAAAAACGATAAATTTATTTCCAACTATAAGGCTAGCCCGATCGATTTTAAAACGCAAATTTCCCTCCGTAGATAAGCCTCTCAAAAATAAGCCCCTTAAAAGGGCCTTTGAAAACTATATGCCCCGGGGCTTATTTTAGGAATTTTACGGTAACTTAAGAAAAAAAATCACGTTCTAATTCAAAGTAAATAACAATAAACTACACGTCAAATATTTTAAAATTATATTGTAGTTTGATCATGTTACCTTGTTCCAATAGCTCGTACCCTTTCCTCAGGAGTAGCGTGAAACAAAGTGTCTTTTTGTTGAAGATAACTTTCCGTACATTGTTCTTCGAACAACATTAACTTGTGAACATCCTGTTTCTCTAGAAAGAGTTCTGTAAGGTAGAGTTCATACCGTGAGAACTGATTGCAAACCAGGGGAAAGAAATCAATTTTACCTAGAAGTGTGTAAAATCTCAAATTTCAAGCATAACTATTAGCCTGCGTAGCATGGCTGTTTTGGTGGGGCGCGTAAACAAGCCAAGGATGGCAAAGGTGGGCGAGGGCAGTAAAACTGCGAGGAGGAGATTGGAGCGGGAGCAGCTCAGTAACTATTTATATTGATATATTCCTCTTTCAGGTCCTTGGTACTCACTGATTGTTGACTTTATTATTGGCCAAACAGCATTTGCCTATAATCAGACTTACCAAGAGAACAGGTGCTGTACCTATAACTATAAATACTTAATGACTGGACCCGAGGGAAACAGTTAATTTGTTTCCTGGGAATCTGAATTGAAAGTTAAGCACTTGAATCTCTATTACAAAATAGCTACTGGCTACCATACTTCTCTTTGACACAAGTTAAGAATATTCAATAGAAGAAAAAGGAACTAACTTAGCTTTTTATCTGTCCTTCTTCTCTGTAGTTTGCTGCGCTTTTTGCAGCACCGTCGTTTAAAGCAAGCTTTGTAGAGAAGGTAGATATGGTTGATGATAATAAACGGCGGCACAAGGAGAGGTCTGTGCGCATACTCCATGATAAGATGATACCGCTGAAATTTCCAGATCTGGTTTGAATTAGCTTGAACATTGGAGAATGTGTTGCTAAGGAAACAAACAACGAGGAAAATCAATTTGGTTGGCAACCTTAATTCAGCAAAATATCAACCAATGAACTTTTGTTCAGAAAAAGGAAAATACAAAAAAGAGAAATGAAACAAGGGCGTTTTTGAACCATCTGTGTTTTTGTGATGATGTAGTAATCTGTAAACTCAAAACATGTAGCATTTTCTTGCCGCTGTTTATGTAAAACACCCACTGCGTAGCACAGCATAAGTTGTAGCTGTTATTTTGATGATGATGATGATGATGATAATGATGATGATGGTGATGATGATGGTGATGATGACGATGATGTTAATGACGATGAAAGGCGCTTTGAGAGGTAAAGCGAGTGACCAAACTGAGTCTTAACGATAACACGTGCTGTAAAAAGTCACGGTTAATAATTCGCTTACTTGAAGATAGCGATGAGCAAATTAAGCAGCAGAATATTAGCCACCAACAAAAACAAAGCCATGATGACAGTCACCAGTGTGCCACCAAATTCATCATGACGGGGGGTGTTGAAAGCTGTGGTTTCCTTATCTACAAGAAAAAAATGTTAGAAAATCTGGCGTCAACCCTCACCAAGAGAATATATTGATGGACGAATGTTGTTTATCCCTAATACATGCATTCACAAATCCACATCCCTGAGGAGGGTTGGGTACTAACCAATTTATCTGTGTGTATGACCCATAACAGGGCCAAAGATTGCTTATCTCCCTTAGAATTTTAAATAGTTGTGCGCTCTAGCCACTGAAACTTATTTTCGTGCCCAACCTTATTATTAATTCAACAGATGCTCTCTACGATTGCTGATCCTAGAAGAATAAAGACCGCACTTTACAAAGGAACCTACAACATGGTCACGCTTGTGACAAAATGAACAAGTTTCAGTTCAATTCTCTACATGATAATAGTTATAACCCATCCGTTCTTCCTCGTACTAAGATCGGTTTTCCATAATAAATACCTCAAGTGTCGGGTGTTTCAGGTGTGGGTGGATGGGTTAACAAAACTAGACTACTACTTTTTAACATTTCTTTCGAGCTAATAAAGTCTTTTATCTTGGAAGGTAACCCGACAAACGACAAGGAAATAGGGCTTGTATCAAGACGAAACATACTAACCATTATAAACATTGTCCTCGATGAACAATTCCCCGTAGACTTGAAAGTAGGGTCTAAAGAACACTTTGGAGATAAGGCCCCAGGAACCAGTCTCTTGAGGAAATAAGATCCCTTGCTGTGCTACTCCGTAGGCCATCAGAAATACCACCATGATTAGCAGAAAATACGCCATGTCAATTGTCTGCAAAAAAAAAGAAGCAATGTCAATCACTTAATAACGCAGTAGCGACATAGTTAATTAAAGTGGAATGGATGGGAAACCCTTAGCTATAGGTTTTTCATAGCTTTTTTGGACCTGACCGTGCACAACGTTCAATAGCATTTCTATCATTTTGAAGTTATTGATCAATAGAAACGTCGCATTGATTTATTAAGTCACAATTTGTGAACAAAGGATCATGCACGGTCAGGGAGCTTCCAACATAAACTGGCTCCAGCACCGTTGTTTTCAACTTTGATGTTTGCAGGCTTTCCTAACCAGTCTCCTCTACTAACTATGGTAGCGAGGGCCATGACACAATGGAAAGTCAGGGGAGGAGGAAGGGGAGGTAAGAGTTTGATTGTGCGTCTCGTATTAGTCGTCTAGGATAAAGACCAGCTCCGGAAACAGTGACAAGTGACATGCGTCTGCTCGTACTATTTTCTGTAGTTCGTACTCATGATAGACGCAAAACGAATAGATCGAGTAGACACTTTACCTGTCTGCCTATATAGCGTACTGCAACAGAGAAATTATGCTCCTTCATGTTATGATATGCTCATAAGTAAACTGTAGGGCAAAAACGAATTTTCTATCAACTGAAATGAACTCTCTGCTTTTGTACATCTGAAATGACAAACAGAAGGCTTGCTGCATCTGATTATGCGCCCTCGGTGGTACCATAAAGGTACTTCTGTTACGGCTAATCCATACCTACCATTCGACCAATCATGACAACATAAGGTCCCAGGATTTTGCTGACGGAGAAAATGTCAAGTACCCGGATGATCCACAGCATGATATCGAGGCAGTAGAGCGTGTGACCAATTGCTCTTGTACCAGGGTGAATACGGAAACCAACAGCAATAAAAAACAGAACCACAGCACAAGCGTCACACAAGTTCCATTTACTCGATGCCCATTTTTTGATCTTTTTATTGAGAGTTATGGCCTCCGAATGAAGCATCTGCGAAATAAGAAGGCGATTTATTAACAGTATTGATTAACCTGGGGTTAAAGGCAAACAGGAGTTGACGAGATTTCAAGGCCCAAATCGTAAATCTTGCTAAGACTGCCCGAGAGACGAGGTCAGAAGCCAACAGAACACTAAAAAACGGTAAAATTCCTAGGGCCAAAGCAGTTCGCACCATGAGCTATAAAAAAACGGTTTCGACTTAATAAAGGAAAATTTTCGTCTAATAAAGTGATTTACTCACACTATAAAAGTAGACTTTTGTCTTGTCTTGTCAGTTCTCCCTGTATATTTCTCGAAGAAATGACCGAGACCCCGTTTACAGGGGTCCGGACAAATTTTTGAAGGGACGAATTTTTTACTTGTGCAACCTGTTCACACGGAACCGTGGAAATTCTGTTACAGATTGCAGTACTGTTTGCCGTTCAAAAACTTGCACTGTTCAGCGGTAACCGCGTGTAAACAAACGACGGGTCCGTGCAAGTTTTGTCCGCATAGGCGTAAGGGCTATCGATTTTTTGTCAGGGGAGGGGGTATGAACCATTTGCCCAAAAAAATCCCGCAAGTTACTCAACTTTTCTCGGAAATCGAAGAGAAACAAGGGTCATACGATGCACTAAAATAGGCCTTCATATGAAGTGAAATTTTCTTACATTTGAATCTATCATATGAGCACAAAAAACAGAATCTTAAGCAACACAGGAGAACATTTCCGAGATGTCCCGAGAGTCTACAGTCGATAATCTACGATATGATGCGACAAAGTTATGCAGATAAAACAGAAAGTTATGCCAGAATTGATCTGAAAACTTTTTTAAAAACGGGCTATGCCCAAATTTTTCTTGCTGCCCAAAAAATCTAGGTTGCCCAAAAATGCCCCGGGCCGTACGTCTATGTTTGTCCGTTCAAGAATTTGTCCGGACCTGCGTAAAGGGAGGCTAAAAGTGCGTTCTGTCTTGATTCAGGTCTCAATCAGCATTCGTCAAGTCTTGGTAACCGAGCGTTCTCTTCAAATCCTTAGGCGCACGTATCAGCCCTAGAAAGTAACTAAGTGGGAATCTCTTGGATGGTAGCTAGGAGATTTGGGCAATAGGCCAATCGTAGAGTCGAATGTTTTTCAAACTCGTATTCAGCTTGTAATTGCAGCCCCCCTCAGACAGTGGATCAAATCACATCGAAAGCGGCAACGGCCATTTTTTTCTTTTAAGATTCCAACGGTTTCCGCGTTGTTTAATTTACTGCTTGTCGGATTATAACACTGTAGCTGCTGGATGATACGTGTTAAAATAAAATATCAACTGAACTAGAAAATGATCGACATGGAAAAAAAAATCATGCCGAGAAACTAACCTTCAACAAACACAAGCACAACAACCATAACGCAACAACAAAAACTGGCGTAAACCTAAAAATCCTTTTTGCCAATATTTCGCAATACCTACCTGTCTTACTTCCTCAGTCAACAATGTGAACACAAAGATGATCAGGAGCATTTCACACGGGGGAGGGTGGGGAGGAAGACGAACTAAAATGACGTAACAGAATACCAGCAGGAACGCGAAGTACATAATCTGTCATGAGAAAGTAAACTCAGCTAAGACAACTAGATACTTAGCTGAAATCAAGAGCTTCAACGTAATATCGAGAACGACTAGAGAAACTTTTGCAGTCACCATTTTAACATTTCCCATAATACACTTTGTTTACCATCAAATTTTCACATGGGTTTTAAAGTCGTCCCAAGAAAATTTGAAGACTTCTGCAAAATTTTTGTATTACGGAAATGTGAAAATGGTGAATCAAGAAAAAATTACAAAGACAGTCCTCTAAATTTCTGGGGGGTAAAATACAGTAGAGGCAATTGTTAAGCAAATGGAAAGGAGGTCCTTTGGAGTATCCAACTGAAAATTGTATTTAAATACAACTACGCCCTTCCGAGTGTATACGGGCACTTCCTTGAATGAACATATTTCGTTCATCCCTCTTGGTTTTGGGTCGGCCATAAAAAATGTTTTTTTTTTGAAAGGCACTATGTCAGGAGCTCCAGATTTGGTTAAATATCTCATAAAATATCTCTTCCACTGAGTGGGTGGGCGTTCCAACCTTCATTTATTGCTTTCGGGGATAAGGAAAATTATTGCATTCATCTTCATTCAAAGTTTCTCGTAATCAGTTAAATTTCATTTAATGCATGACGAGTAAAAACGGTAAAATCTATTCCGGCGTACACCCGCTTACGAAGAGGTACGCACAAGAGAACATTTTAAAATAGCACGTCATCTTTTATCATCTAGCGCTATCTCGCACTCAGATCTCTTGCAAAGCTACATAAAGCGGTGATTAAGAAATCGACGTTTTGCGCTTCTTCAACCTCATTCTCAGAGTTTTTCGAAAGTAAGCGGAATTCAGATCACAGTAGTTTCGGAGGAAATATCGTTGTCACGTTGTAACTCGTTAACATATTAAGTACAAACCACATTTCCCCAGAATTTAGTGATAGGTGCACGGTAAAACTCGTACAGTCTATGACCCAGGCTCAGGTTTTTGTGCAAACGCTTAGCCTTGGCATTCTCGTCAATCCTGCATCCGCGTCTGATTACACTCAGCGACTCACTACTTCCGGAACGGCTGTGGGTCGAGAGTGACCTGGGTAGAAAAAACAACAGACAAACAGGAACACTTATATCCATGACAATTAGAGACAATTTAAGAGCGAATCCATGCAAAAATCGACCAAAATCGCCGATTCGTGGCAAGGCTCAAAAAATCAAAATCGCTCTTCTTTTGCAGACTGGTACACTTTAGTAAGTCTACAAACGCTATGTAGTTTTTTCTTCGAAAGATCTATTCGTTTCCGAGAAAAACGAAGCAAACCGTTTCAAGCCCCACAAGCGATTTCGCAAGCCAAAAACAGGGTTGAAATCATCATGATTCGCTGGACTCGCGTTCCAATACAATCGCGCTAGGGAAAAAAGTTATTGCTAAAATTTTAAGTTTAACTCGTCGTTGATCGAACTATATAATATTTTTAGCATTACATCAGTATGAGTAATTATAAAAAAGCTAAAGCGTACGGCTACCTGATATTTAGCGACGAAAGGTCGTTGAAAACAGCGACGATTTTCATCATGTGCCTTTGATCAGAATTTTTTCAGATTGAAGGGAAATACACTACAGCCATCAAACGTTTATGCTATGTAAAAATTATTTTGAGGAAATCATTTTGAGCTTGTCAGAAATTATTTGAAAATCGTTTTACAGACAACATAAAGTAACGCCATCTTTAACATATGCGTGACCATTGTCAGTCGACCAGGCAAAGGTCATAACGTCTCTCCTAAAAAGTCCTGGTAATATTCACGCACAAAGTTCTAAATGTTAAAGTACTTACCCTATTCTTTGTTTCAGGTCTAGTTTCACGGCAAAATGTTTCCCGTTGCCATCTGTTCAAGTTTGCCATTCTATATTAAACTCTCTGAGACTCATAACCAACACGCATGCTTTCTAACGAAGATCGCTTAGTAAACACGTAGTAAACGCTCTCTTCCTTATCTGTCAAAAACGTTTGTCTCAAAATGCTGCTGGACACCGCAGAAGGAAGCGCCAATCTGAAGGATATTTTAAAGCGCCCATGCGAACGTTTGTGACTCAGTATGCAAATTACTTTCAACAGTAATATCAGATTACAGCTGTCAAGATCCCGGGGTCCGGGGTGTGGATCCGCTAAAAGCAGGCGAAAAGCAAACGTAAAACATGCGTTTTGAAAATGAAGAATTTAATTGGTAGCCTCACTGAAGATTTTCGTTGCTTCGAGACGTGGGCATTATCAAAACAAAAGATGTCTTAACAAAAAATTGTGTACATGTTTTCTTCCCATCACCACCAGTGGAACCAAGTTGTTGGCTGTGGGTAATCCTGGCCTGCACGTGCGTTATTTCAGAGTGCCTTAAAGGACAAATGTAATTTCTGCTGTGGTAAATGTCACTTTTCGTGAATTGAAAGAAACATTATTGGGGGTGGGACGGGCGAAGTACAAAAGGGAAAATTAAATGAAAAAACATGTCATGCACGCCAATTAACCCTAAAAAATATTCATGCTACGGCCTAAAACTAAAATTCAAGAAGGAATTTGATAACGAAAAAAAAATTTTCAAAAAATAACTTTTCTAATGGTCCGTTCGTAATAGATAAGATTTCTATTCGTGATCCCCAGTGTCCAGCGTTCTTGTAACATTCGGCAAGCGCATCTGCTTCTGAGCTTGAAGTCAATGGCTTCGTCATTCGCCATATCCCCACACGTTGTCTTGAAGGAGGTACAAGTCAGTCGTTTGAAGTAAATGTAAGAAAATAGAATAAAATAAAACGACAACAACAAATGCCATCAGAACTGGACTACGATCTTTAAATTTTAAAAAAATATATTTTCTCTGGGGGAAATCGGGTTTAATTTCAAACTAAGAAAAAAACTGAAAGGTTTATTTTATCGGACAGATTAGGTGGATTGGTACCGAGGAGACTCTGGGTTATCTAAGAGAGTTGACAACTATGATAAACTTTATACAGTATTCGTGGATTGAATTTAAGCGACTTATAAGAATATAATACAGTGAATAAACCAAGAGTACCTGAGCTTACAGGAATGAGGATACCGGTTTGCTGATAGATATATTTTGAAATGTTCTTCCTCTAACTCTTTTGTCGGCTTTTTGGTCCCTCTTCTTTCAATTATGTGATTGGCGCTTTCCTTTGGAACTTGGCACGAATTGGAATAACTGTTCCGTCACCATCCAATACCGAGCTCAGAAAGATGGAAAGGGCATATATTAAAGGAACTTAGGGCGCTTTCCATTTGTCAGAACTGGCCGGCTGGATCTTTGCCTGACCAGTCATTTTGAAAATGAAATAGGATTTTTCCAAGAGTTTTGCCGAAAAATGTTCTCTTTCGAGCATACTCAGTTTCGGATTTGACTGATCTAGCTGAAGAGTTTGATTAAAAGGGAAATTATCATTGCGACGGGAATGGTCTGGCTGGTCAGTTCTGAGCTAAAATAAAGTCTGTTTCGCTTTCAATGGCTAGAAAGAGACCATGTCGATCTATGCCCAGTTACGTCCTAAATAGTTTGATAGCGACAATTTAACAATCTCAGTTGATCTCTGCTTATCCCTTCTATAAAACGAACACAGAGTACCTACTGATGACTCGAAGGAGCACGAACCCTCCATAGCTTCATCGAAGAAGAGCGCACACAAACAGTGTTTATGCTGAGATCTTTTTCTTTTTCAAGTGGGAATGAACGGTTGAATCAAATTAAACTAAATTTAATTCGATAATGTTAATCAAATGCCTAAAATGTCAAAATATTAAAGATAATTCTCAGGTAAAATAATGTCAACTGGAGTATTTTTGAAGAAGGAGGAATATAAAAGATGAAGCTTCTTCAGTGTACTGGGAAAAACGGGTGAAAGTCGGTGAAGCTCGTCACGTGTATTTTACCGGAAGTAGACCCTTGGCACACTCCTATGCAAATGAGATTAGTTGAAGTGAACGGATCCACGAGCAAGCAACTTTGCTTTGTTGACAGTTAAACTACCGAGCTTTATTTTATAGACGGCTTTTTTAAGGTCCAGGGTTCTCAAAATTTTTAACAAACATGAGATGTTAACTTGAAAACATTCAGGGAGAAAACAGAGGGATGAAGAAATTACCAGAAAGCTGTCACGCACCTCCAAGGCACACATTCCAGCGGACTTCATGACTACGGTAACATAGGTGATAAGACGGCAAAATGAAACAACTTGGAGCTTAAAGTACAACAGATACAGGTTAAGGTGAGCTTTTTAAAAAAATTGTTCTACATATCAAGGCTACCAGCGTTCTAAACGGAAACCTAAAGTCAAATTGTTGGTGGTGGTCGTGTGACTCACGTGTTGGATGCCGTTATTTTATGTTGTCTGTAACACGAATTTGAAATAATTTCTGAGAAGCTCAAAATGATTTCCCCAAAATAATTTTAACATAACACAATAGTTTGATGCTTGTAGAGTTTTCCCTTTCAATCTTGAAAAATTCTGATCAAAGGCACATGACGAAAATCGTCGCTTTTTTCAACTACCTTCCGTGGTTGAACATCAGGTAGACATACGCTTTAGCTTTTTTATAATTACTCAGAGTGTTGTAATGCTAAAAATATTATATATTTTGGTCAACGACGAGTTGTACTTACAAGTTTAGCAACAAGCTTTTTTTCTAGCGCGGTGGTTTTGAAATGCAAGTCGAGCGAATCATAGTGAATTTCAACCCTGTTTTCGGCTTGCGAAATCGACGGCGGGGCTTGAAACGGTTTTCTTGTTTTTCTCGGAAACGAACAGATCTTTCGAAGAAAAAACTACCTGGCGTTTGTACACTTACTAAAGTCTATCAGTATGCAAAAGAAGAGCGATTTTTATTTTTTGAGCCTTGCCGCACTTCGGTCGATATTTGCATGGAGTTGCTCTTAATTGGAAAATCGCCGATATTAAGACAAGATACCCGAAAACCCTCTATTAAAAGACCCTTCTCTCAAATAAGCACCCCCCCCGTCTTTTTAAGCCCCCATCCATGTCCCCTCTAGTCTTGAATGATAGACTGTATCAATTAATCAAAACTGTAACACTCCACGCAGACAAATCCGGTATGATTTATTCACACGTGCTGGAAGTTCGGACTTGGTTTTGATCTTGCGCTACATGATCTCCAACTTTTAAGTGCAAAGTGCAAGAAATCTGCCCGAGCTTTTCCACTTTGCGTTCAAATTTTCATGGAAAACTGATACTTTCATCTTCGCTAAATTAAATCAGCCCGACCCCGCCATCCCCCTTCAAACACCCCGCCCCTCCCTTCAAACGTGGTTGAAATAAATAAGTCCCCGTGGGGCTTAATAAAGGATTTACGGTAAAAAACATATCCCTTTATCTCTCAACTGGCCAAGACTCAATCAACACACTTTTAATATATATTTACTTCATTCTTGAAATTTCGGGTCCTCTTTAGTTTCAGCTTTAGCTAAAACTAGACTGAAATTCAATTGTTATGTTATCAGGTTGTCAATGCCAATATTAGTAAGAGGATACTTTCGTCGAAGCCACGTAACACTAACCGGAGTTTGGAGAAAATGAGAATTTATGATATCACTAGGCATGCGTCAACAAGTAACCCAGTTGAAAAAGCAAGCGAAAACCAAACTACGTGGACACGACACAAGCGACAGCCTCAGGTCTCAAAATGTCGGAACTGCATTCATTTGGCTCACAGAGAATCTTAACTAGGCTAAAAAAGTCAAGATAAGCCGTATAAACGAACAGCATCTGTATAAACGATGAAAAGTATGTATTCTGAAGCTAAGCCGAGCAAGCGCTTCTATATATTAGTTTGGCTGGTATCGCCCGGCCGTGTGCGATTATGAAGTCCTTTAAGATAAAAGTGCGATTAGAATGTAACTACTACCTGTTGAAAGTTATGTGTCGAATAAAACCTGCAGTTATACAAGCTGACTTTCTACCTGTGAATCCTGACGGTAATTAATGTTACACAGTCAAGTTAACAGACTTAACCAAAAAGATTTGGAAAAATTTGCTATGATTTGTGATCAGTGATTTCTTAGCCCGATATAAAGAATTTTCGTATTATATCGCGTTATTTGTTAACCCTGTGGTTCATTGGTTAGTACACTCGCCTCCTTCAAAAGCAGCCCAGGGACCAGCTGTTTCTCGAATACCCCCGTTCCGTTTCGGGGATTAAAGCAAGTACAATCAACTCTCGCCTTGCGAAAACTCCTCTATAGCGGACACTCCGATAATACGGACAGCAGCTAAATCCGAGGCAAAAATAATTTACAAACGTTTGACTGAAATAAAGTCCCGCTATTACGGACTCTCGCTAATGAGGACACTAACTCGTGGTCCCCAAGGTGTCCGCTATAAAGGGAGTTGACTGTATTAGAAAAAAATCTAAAGAATAAAAGCGTCGGTCCTTGCTTGAGTTTTGTTTTTTGATTGTTCTATCATATTGTGAACTGTTGAAGCATCGATCTTGAACGTCAACAGAACAGCTTTCCGGGCCGGGTAATTTTTGGGACTTTAGAGAGACTGATTCCAGCTTGGAACCCGGAGGATAATTCATAGGTGGGTTCAGCTTGTGGTGGTTTAATTTTTCCCGGCTCTCGGGTTACATTTTGACCTTCTCCACAACACCAAAATATTTCCAAATTACAATTCCATCAGCATTGGTGCTAAGAACCGCTAAATGGATTTTCTGCCTTTGAATCGCTATTTATTACAATCCCTCTCTTGAACAAAGGAGATATGAATCGCCTGCGGTTGGCCTAGATTAGTTTAGTCTTCCAAACATGTGCTAGGAGGGTTTTCTTTGGTTGCGTTCTGGAATGATCTATTACAAAGTTGTAGCGAAAGCCTGCATTTAACCAAGATGAAAGTTTTGTGTTTACTACTGAGATGGAAATCTCTTCTAAGCGGATAGAATGTAAAAGGGGTACAAATTTTTGATGGAAGGTATACAAAGGAACAACGTTTTCTGTCAAAAATAAAGGGTTGGACTTTGGGGCAGCTTGGGGCGGAGCCTTCCCGGCTGTATAAATCTTTGCTGAGTAGCCGCCAGGGGCTTCCCCCAGGTAAACAACGCCTAGAAACTTCCTATATTGTTAAGAGAACTTACGTAAGGAGCCCAAGCCCATTGTGTTGTATTTGTGGAGGTAAAAAAATGCTTTCACAGTGACTGGCTAAGGTTTGAGACAAGGGAATCGGCTTTTATACATGCAAGGCTTCATTGCCAGTCCGGCCTTCCACTGATACATCGATTATTTGTGTGCTGGTTATTGAGTATTTCAAGGGAACACTAAGGACAGCAAACTATCGCACATTACACCCTAGAAACGCAACTGATTCAAATTCGAAATTGAGAGAAAACCGCTGCGACATTTGAAACGCTTTGATTACAACAAAAATGGCACCTGCATGCAAAATACACAGGTAAATGATATCTTGTCTGGTAACCAGCTAAAACACTGTCAGAGGTGGGGACCAAAACGCCTTCTATGTCTAACAAGTAAAATATTAAAACGAAACGACATAGATGTTGTTTTTTAACCAAGGAATAGAATAGCAAAGGCAGCGAAGTCCAATTGCGATCGACTGTCACGGCTAATGACTTTTCAGGCTTTGGCAAATTTATTTCTATTATCACTGATTTTTGACGCCGTGTTCTTCAAGGCAAGTTGCTTGATCGTCCCGGTAAAATGGTCCCGAGAAGGCCCAAATTTTGCTGGTGGAAACAAAGCGCTAGTTATGAGCGCAGGAGATAAACTTGCTATAGTATGTCCGAACGTTGAAGACGTAGATGGAAGAATGCCTTACGATATGATGTTTGAAAACGTGTGGTTAGTTGGGTCAAGTGGATACCAAATGTGCGATGCATCAGATGGCAAACTGCTGCTGAAATGTAAAGACCCTGAACAAATAAAGCAAGTTGTTTTAAAAGATCTTTACGCGCAACTTGGAAAGACATATTATCTAATTTCTACTTCCGACGGACATTTGTCATCCCTCGATAACAGAAAGGGTGGACACTGTGAGACGCAAAATCTGAAATTGACGGTGTATGTTCAGTGAGTAAAGGAAATCAGATCGTTATATTACTATGGCTATTAAAGAAGACGATGAATCAGCAACAGACGGGCGAGTGAAGAATGTAATTAATTTTGTAATTAAAATGCTGCTAAGTTATATATTTTTTGATGTGTTTTCGCGATTTATTGCTCATGTTAACTTTGCACGTGCTTAATTCGATTACGTATGAAGTGATATCACACTCATCGCTGATCTTTCCCCACTCCCCCTTGCTCCTCTCCCCACCCCCCTCGCCAGAATCATTCGCTGCCCTTTCTTAAAAGGCTCCTGTGAAATGTTTGCCGACTTCTCACACTTTTCAATTACCTGAGGTTAACTTGCGAGTCACCTTTACTGAACTGAGCAACGTTTCCGTTGAGCTTTTCTGAGTTTCTCTCACAAGTTTCCTCTTCATCTTGGTCCGACTTTGCTTGCTCTTGTTCGTATTCTTCGAAGGTTACTGGCATTTGGCACAATTCTTTCTTGTTCTTAAACTCTTTGAATGGAATTGTGGGAGGACACAAGATTCCGAGCACAGTCTGGAAATGTTACAAATCAAATTCTGCTATTAAGATATTTAGACTAAATATGGTTTAATGACCTTATAGTAGTCGAAAATGGCAGTGTGGGTTACTTATCATTAGGTAGTCTGTGTTCGTACGCGTAAAAATGTCAGCAGACGGTATTGTCCAGCAGAAGTTTCTTGAACGACCGATCCCATAATTCCCTATCCAGGCCTCTAAACTAAAAGTGTTCGCGTTTTGCCGATGGCTTTGGACTTGCGCTCTACTAGAGAGTACCTTTCAACTTTCATTTTGCCATTTCATCAGTCTGTTTACTAGGAGTAGCTATATATAGACACTAGATTATAGACATTATGACGTTTGTTTGTAAATTAATGAGCGTGATTTCTTTAAAGGTGCAGACATTGAGCTTAAACGATGAATTCTGTATGTTTTGAAAAGCATGTTCCTGTGACACTGATTTCGGACTATGTTTGGAGATTTTTTGAAAAGATATCTTTTTCTTTTTTCATTAAATGTAGATGAAAATCATCGTGCAAGTGTTTCACTGTTACCTTGAGTGTAGCCCACTCGTCCAATTTCATTGCACCCATCCAGATCTCTGTCAGTAGTGTCTGACAACACGTATGAGCCACGAATTCCTCATGTCGCGTAGCAACAGCAAGCGACAGACAACACTGGTCTCCCCAGTTCTCCAGGTTGTAAGTGAGTAGTTGCTGGGCCAAGTCTTCATTTGTTTGGTAGCACTCATCCAACAGACCCAGTGCGATGCTTAGAAACTCACTGATCATAAGAAATCACAAACGGCAAATTCATTACTGATTACAACAGCACTACAGAGGCCAGTCATCAGTTGCGCTGATGGAGACATGTTGCCGATGAATTTACTAGCGCTTATTATTTGGTTAGCACTGACCGGCCATACCAGTCCGTTTGAGAGAGAATTCCACTATTTTAAAATCAGGATTATCCGGCAACATCAATCTATTCCTAAATAGTATGCACAGCAGTAATGACGTTTAAGGAAAACTTCGACTGGAAACCAATATATAAATTTAGCCAAGTCTAAAGGCGAAGCTCCCGTTTATAAAAAGACATCCACTTTAAAGTAGAGCCGGCGATCAATTGAAAAACGCGTAACCTCGATGGGTCGAGTGAAGACGTTAAGTAGTATAGTACTGCAGAACCAAGACAACTCAGATCAATACTAATTTTGAAGTGTTAAACAGCGAGGTTATAAAATGACTACTAAAACAAGGCCTTACCGTGAATGAGCTTCAAGTTCCTCGGATACGTCACCTTTCAGTTCATCTTTAGCCATCTCTTTCGCCAGAGATCTGAACAGTTTTCCCGCCACTAGCGCTTTGGCCAAGTTCTCGTCACCACGCTCCCACATAAAAAGTGCCATTTTATGAAAATTACAAAGCACAGCCCAGAGTAACAGCTCGTTATATGGCAATCGGAATCCGATGCCGAAATAGCTGTCGTCATCTTTAGCTGAGTGGGACATAAACATTTTCATGTTGGCTAGACCCTGCAGGTAACGATGGTAAGATAAATAAGGTGTAAATAAATAAATAAATAAATAAATATATTAAGTAATTGGCCGAAAAGACTCCGTAGAGCGATTGGGTGACTGGTAAGTGTCTTTGCAAATCGCGTATTCTTGGTTCGCAACCACGTGACAAGTCTGCCATGTTGGTGGTCGATACAATCAAATTATTTTCGAAGAATTTTCATGAAAATGGCTTTAGTTCTCAGAGGACAGAAATGGTTTTGTCCTTGACAACCAACATAGCCGCTGTAACGTCACCTGCAATCTAGCATTTCACCATAACCTGTGTATTCTAGGTGACTTTACTAGTACATAAAGTAATAGCTAAGTTACCCTTTTAATCGATCCATATTCGTGATGAGGGTTGACAAAAGTTATCCCAAGTAGTCGCTCTAAAATGGTTACTATGTCGGCAAGTTTGAAGGAACGAAGTGCCTACAATAAAACATATATCAGACAAATTTCAAGTATGCGTACAGAGATACAACAAAGAAGAGGAATGCACATCCTTAAACGCCTCAAAAAACTGAACAAGCAAACCTTCTCAGCTAATTAGGTGATGCTCACCATTTTCCCTCCAAGCAGACGACGCAATGTGCAACTTTTTCTTGCCGTCTATTAAAAGAATGAAAAACACAACCAACAATGTAGAACGTTTGCCATTACTGTTATACTATAGTTGGTTTATTAAAAAAAAAAAAAAGAAAGAAAGAAAGAAAGAAAGGAAAGAATAAATAAATGAAAAGCATGGACGATAACGTACAGATCTGTAGAGGTCTTCCAGTCGCTGAGCTGTTAAAAAAGATGACATGCTGACACCATTCTCGAGCAGTAGATCCACAAACTCCACACGCTCTTTTACTAAAGCTTCAAACATGGCACTCTCCAACACTGGGATCTAACAAACCAGCATTCATGATGTCATGTTAGTTGTTATTTCTTTGCCTTTTTAAAGGCATACAGTTCTTATCCTCAGCGGTTTATAGTAAGCTAAGGAAAAAGGGAGGGAGCGAGCGATAACACTTAACACTCAACATTCACACATACATTACATAGTTAAATAGTTAAATTATTATTTTTTATTAGTTCCTTCACGGTTCGTTTTTTATTACTTGGTTTCCCCACTTCAGAGCAGGTGATCTGTGAGGCGTAAGGTGTATCTTTACTAATTGCCTTGTGTGAATCATTGCGAATTCTATCCTTCCACTGAACTTCTTTCAGTGTGATGGCTCCACACAAACGACCGGTATATACCAGGGGTGGTTTATAGCAAGTTTACAGCCATGTTTTGCAAACTCGTGAAGGTTACGTTCTGAAAAAGGGGCATAATGATCACCCAAATATTGACGCAAATTGTAGCAAGATATATTGAGGGATAAGCAAAGAAAAAAAGCTCAAACCTCCCATTTCCGTTCTTTATTAAAGATTTCGCACTTGGCGATATCTGCTCGATTCCATATCAACGCGAGACTCAGTTGATCAGAAGGCGAAGAATTGTGACCTTTGAGAATAAAACAAACAAATAGTCGAGTAACGGACAGTCTTAACGTTTAGACCATAAACGCAAGAGGCGAGGATAGTCACTTGTGACGTATATGTACAGTTAAGGTTAGATCTTAACTCTCGATAAGCAGCCTGCCTGAAAAAGAGGGAAAATACTCCGTTGAAAGAAGCTTTTTAACAAAAGAGCATCAGCTACGCGATGAGAACAAAGCAAAATGCGATTTTTTATTCTCAAATGAATTTTGTTACATTATTGGTATACTTCCCAATCACAATATCCAAGCCACGCCTTTGAAGACTGTTGTCAGATTGATAGGGAAAAACTAAATTTTATGAAGAGTGTTTAGAGACATGTACTTTGTCTTCATAATTAGATACCATTAAACGAGTGCTTTTGCGCATGTTCCCTACATTTCTAGCACTGTTTTTTGTCGGTATACCGTACTTTTCATAAACACTTGAGTAGAGATAAAACCAAAAAAATCACTTTTATCACAACAGAGTACCGTTCAATAGCGCTTTTAAAATGGCTCTGTCGATATCCATTCCTTCTTCATTGACACTGAAAACTGTTATCTAAAGGAAAGGAAAAAGGAAAATTCAGGAACGAAACATCTCTGGCATGAAACAAGGTCTGCGTGGTTACTTCAATAGGCTCCTTGTTCATCTAATAACCATTAAGTAAGATAATTCAATATTTTCGCTTGACAAAGAAACGTTAAGCTAAGTGCGTTAATTAATAATATCAAGGTTTCTTAAGACTTGCGAAATTGTTTCAGCAAAATTTTTTTAACTAACATAAGTAACATTTCGAAAGCAACAAAATATTAGGTGCTGACATACATATCTTTTGTTTCCCACGCATCTCAGCACATTCTCGTAGATCTTCAAGCAGCCTTCTTCGTCACATTCAGGAAAAGCTTTTTCGATTTTAAGAAGTAGTTGGTGATGTTCCACAACATCCGCCATTTCATCAAGCGCGCTGAGAGAAAAGCACAAAGAAAAGCTCCTAATCGCAAACATGATATTTACAATTAGAAAAATTATGGATTTGATTGACACGTGCATTTTCCTATTATAAATCATAATCAGCCAAAGGCGTGTTTAACCTTTTCATACGTAATTCTTTCTTTGAGTCTGTACACAAAACCCTATGATGTAACCTTAACATTCAAAGGTTTTTGATTGACAGAAATACAGTTTTGTGGAGAAATCTGTTCACGTCCATTATTGGCGGCACGTTATCATGAGAAGTTCGAGTTCTGTTGCAAACTCACTAAACATATAAAGACGAATACTAACAGTTTATATTATAGTGCTTCTCTGAAACGTTACTCGGTGTCAAGCTTCTTCTTACATAACAATACAACAGATCATTTACCCACTGCTCTGTGAAATAAAGCGATGTGCATAAGCCAAGATATCAGCCGCTCGCCCACTGCCTTCAGCAACAACAACCGGTACGGCTGGGTTTCTGGTCACAGACTCTAGCACTGTGCGAATGGTATTAGGTCCTCCCTCTAGGACCAGCAGTACCACAGGCACCCCATGTGATCGGTCTGTAGAGACATTCAAGAATTGCATCCATGTATAAAAATATAAATCAGATGATGGTTGGACAACGTAGTATCAACAGGTTGATTGAACGTTAAATTTTTCGAGAAAATGAACACGTAATCATTGTCATTTATACTTATTTCAAAGTCAAACACTCAGTCTTAGACAAGTTAAGTCTTTTTATTATTCATTCAAAATATTTCCCCGATTCTGATTGGCTAAAAGCACACGTTTAATTCACCGTAACCAGTTACTGATGACCAAATTTGGAAGAATTTTGTATTTAGTGAGGAAATGACGTCAAAAATGAAGCGTTCATGCAGGTTAATGCACCGTTAACAGAGAAGACCTGGGTACGAGGTTGAGTTGTTTTGGTTGTGAACTTGAAAAATGGCGGACATTTCACTCGTTTCAAGGTAAGAACTAGGCGAAAAGATAACTAAAAACGTGGCAAAAACAGCAAGAACACAACTCAAGGGCGACATCTGCTATTTGGAGAATATTTGCGGAGCTGAATAACCCTAAATGTGCACTATCAAAGATAGAAACTAGAAATTATTTTGAATGAATAATAAAACAATTATTGAATTCGGCTTTCGTATCATATGAAGAATTATGGAGATCTCGGAGGTTGTTATCCGCCGCGGCCTACGGCCTCGACGGATAACACCCTCCTCGATCTCCATAATTCTTCATAAGATACTCAGCCTCATTCATTAATTGTTAATTAAACTATGACTTCCCAGGTTAGAAGAATAAAAGCTTAAAACAATTTTGAGTTTTCTTAATACTTGTTAAATGTTGGGCGATCTGTTCAAACTGTTTCGAAGATTACAACGAATGTTAAAGCAAATGTCGAAAATGATCAAAAGGGCCTCTGCAATTTTTTGATCGTCCAACAACAAAATTTGCGACTTTTTCATATTCTGATTGACGGCCTTGGCTAGGTCCAATCGCATTATCAAGGTGAGTCAGAGTTAGTCCTTCATGTTACAACAAACAGCGCATAAAATGAAGCAAACCAACCAACAACAAAAAAAAACAAGCATACAAATAAAATAAATGACACGGGTACAATCCACAATCTAAACAGTGGAGCTCTATAATAAAGTAATATACCTACATGAAAGTCTATTGCATTGTGCAACGTTACAGTCTCCTGACAGGTGGAAAATACTCTATAATTAGAATATACGTTGTATGACGGATAGCCGTTCCTACCGCACGATTTTTCCATCTGTTTTCGCGAGATACAATTCTCAAGACTGGCTCGGAATGAAATCTCTCCTCCGTATTTGTTAATTGTCCCATCATCCACCAGAATAAAATGAGTATGATTGTTGTCCAAGCATGCGCCTTTTGAAATCATGCTGGAAGTCATCTGATATGGTACCACTTCCTAAAAGAAAAACGATCATAAGGATTATCTCAATGTACATCATCAGAGACGAATTTTGAATAATTCTTTCAATTCTTTCATTAGCTTGTATGAGCAAGCGCACCGAACGAATTAATTCATCTGCAGTTCGTCAGTGTTCAGTCGACATAAGTCGTGTAGACGTCGTACATCTACCATGAGCCATGCACTACAGGAGTAAAAAACTGCTTTACTTGCACTCTAAGTAGTTAGCTTGGAGGTCAGTAGCTACTAAAGAACAAAATTATAAAGCACTGATTGATTGAAAGACGGCACTTTTCCTTAGTCAAGGGCATTTAAATGAAGACTTTGAACGTAGAGACACTACAAAGTACATGTACTTACTTACGGGAAATCGCTAGTAACGGAATACGACTACTACTGCAACGAGAACCTACAGAATGAGATGAGTGATAAGGAGACTGCGGCTAACCATGCGAAGCAACTGGACTCTAACTTAAAACGGGTTCAGGAGACAACGCTAATAACGCCCAAGGTACGAAGAATTGGCGTACGGAAAAGCATATGACTCATGATGACTGTACAGAAGCTAGAGATTAGAAGAAAACAATAAACTACTCAAGCGAAAAACGGACGGTCGGAAAATAGGTTACAACACAACAGCAATGCCACAAAACAACTTAACAAACGGAAACGTGTCAAAGAAAACAACGGAGAAATGTTGACACTCAAGAAGGAAAAACGGAGAGCCAAAAGAAAAAAAACCCCGATATTTATGTCAGTGTGAAACTTTCGGCTATTCAAGGATTCGACCGGACAAACCTACTCATTCATACCGGATAACACCGGGCATTCCTTACCCGTTTTGTACGACGACCAGATATTTAGCCTGAGAACGGATTTCTGGAGCCAGGGTAACATTGGTTAAGCTCAGCAAACCAACCCAAGCTGATCAGTCTCCCTTGATTTCTTCACACAGTTAAGACTAGCTGTAACCAATCAAACTTTGCTATTCACAGCCCAACTTTTATGACTTTGGCTTCGTAGCAAGACATAAAAATAACGTTACATTTTGTTACCGAGTTTTTAGCGATAACCCCGACTTAAAGAACACAACTTTTTTTCAGCAAAGGCACCAAAATACATCTGTTAACAATGGTTGCAAAAGGTGAACTTGGCTTAGAAGTGATCATGTACTTCGTTACTTCAAGAACCCAAGGGAATGATCGCTGAAGACGTGCTTTTGAGTAAGGACACATTAAGCAAAGTTAGAGCTTGACAAATTTTAGTCCTGCTTTTTCCTTTCTAGAAGGCGTTTCCGCGTGGCTAATTTTCAACCTGAAGTTCGTCAAATAAAATAACCGACGAAAGATTAGGCTTGCAATTCTGGATCGTCTACTGGTTGACTTGTCATGCGCGGATTAGTTTTCTTTTCCCATCCTTGCTTAACTTTTCGTTTCTTTACTTGAACTTACCTGCTTGCCAATAACGTGCTCTCTGTGGTCCACTATTCCCCAGGTCGCTATACCAATTAAATGAACCTGCTGAGTGTTGTCCTTTAGCTGGGCACCACGTGACATGACTGTGTGACCGCGCACCGCCTCGCCAACATGGCGCATGACACCTGTGTTCGTGCCACCGGTTATGATCCAGGCTCCTGTAGTTTGAGCGGCCTGTCAAGGCGAATATAATAATCCTTAATTTCCTTAGAACCATGGCTATTAGCCAAAAGATGAAGATCTTAAAGGAACTAAATTTCTGCGTTTTCTATATAGTCTTTTTCAATTTGGGAGAAAGTCCACGTTTACTAGAATCGACTCTGGACAAAAAGACATTGTCATAGGCTTAATTTGCGCGGGTCGTTAACGAGTATCGGCCTCTTCGCGCCGTTTACAGTAACTCAATCATTTCTCGAATCAAGAAATTCCTCTTGAGTTTGTAGGATGGAGAGCCCTTTTCGCCAACAATTTACATAAACTGTACCTTAAGCAGACCTTTCCTCAAGACTTGTTTCAGTTTGGGATTAAGAACAAAATTCTTGGCGCCGCCGGTCACAGAGATGAGTAGCTTGGGTAAGTCCAGCTTCCATTCCGTAAAGAGCAGGCGCAAAACCTTCTCCGGATCCGTGTCATAAGATACCCGAATGTACTGTAGATGGACCAAAACGAGAAAAGATTAAATCCAAAAACGGAATACGAGTTTCTGTTTTAAAATAAAACAAACAAACAAACAACTTCGAATCTAAGGAATCCACCTCAGATTACATTTATTGGATTAAGTCTTAAAAAAAAGGACATATTCAAGCGGGTTTCTCCTAAAAAATGATACTGCAGAGGCGTAGCTAGGAAATTTTTGAAGGTACGCCGGCGCAGAGTCCAAATCAACCTTACCTCGTCTCCCAAATCGTTTTTACGCTGGTGACTTGATTAAATTTCCCTTTTTTAATCAGTACAGAGTGGTATTCATTCTTTCGGTCTTAGCACTACGGCTTTCGAGTGTACCAAAATCGGGGAAAACGTTGCATTTTTTCCACAAAAAAAGGTTCCTTTGCTTCGTCACAATAACTACTCTCTTAGTTTCTCCCTAGAATTTGATGGATTCCCTTAAAGAAATGCACCCTTCTCAAGAGGTTTAGATGCTTGAGTGGTTCGAAAAGATGCTTAAACAATCTGTTAACAACAAACCCAACGTGCAGCATATAATTCAGTTATACGTGTTTAAAAATGTTTAAATCTAAACGTGTATTATGAACAAACAAAAGCGCAAAAAGCCAGCGAGAACGTGTTTGGTGATCGCTATAATTTGCATTCAGTAGTTGAACACGATGTAAAGAAATCGACTTTGAAACCGTTTGAGCAATTCTTACATAACTTTAATTTATTTTCATTTTTTAATGTGGACTTTGCAATACGTCTACACTTGCTCAAATTTTCGTCAAATTGTTTAACTGTTTAAAGGTAGACTGAAAAACAGTCCGTTATTTTCTCAAATCGGTTTTCAAAGCGCGAAGCGCTAGCGAGACATTAATTTTGACTTTTCGCATGTGCATTCCTGGCACATGCAAATCCGTCTAAGATACTCGTCTACTGTGTTAGTAACGAACGGTTTGCTGCTCATCATGGCATGTCCACCACTTACCTTTGCGCGGCTGACTTGCCCTGCTCCTTGGAACTCGAGCTCTCCAAAAGCATTAGTGGGTTTAGAGACGGTATGTTTAGATACTTCCCATTCATCGCCCTTTTTCCCAGTAGATAATAAGGCATCTCCACTGTGATCCTGCTTATTCCTTCCACAACAGCAACTGGAAAAGACTCACGCTAATTATATTTATTATTCATTCAAAGTATTTCTCCGTTTCTGTTTAGCTGAAATCACACATAAATCATCATAACCAGCTACTGTTAACCAAATTTGGAAGAATTTTGCCATACTGAACCGATGACGTCAAAAGTGCAGAAAAGTTGCATATTATTGAACCGTTAACCGAGAAGACCTGGGGACGAGTTTAAGTCGTTTTCGAAGTGAGTCATGGCGGAACATTTTACTCGTTTCAGGGCGAACTATTGTCTAAAAACATGGCGAAAACAGCAAGACGATAACTCGACGGACGACTTCTACTATCTGGAGTATATTTGCAGACCTGAACAACCCTTCATCTCCTTAACTTCCCGGTAAAGGCGCACTATATATTGACATGAACTTAATATCGACCTAGATAAGCATGTTTTAGCTTGTCCTTAAACTTGCAGTTATTTTGAATGAATAATATTCGGCTTTCGCAGGATATGACGAATTCTACATATCTCGGAGGGTGTTATGGATATCCACATCGGCCGATAACAATCCCTCAGCCTCATTCAATAATAAATAAGTATCTCCTTTATTCGATCTGCAAGAATATGAAATATTAAAAGAATGTACATTTTTCTTTCTACGAAAGAGAATCCTTGTAAAATGACTATCTCATCAAAAAGTTGATAAAAAAAAAAAAACTATTTAAAAAATAAAATCAAACTGATAAAAATTTTAAACCCAGAATAATAATAATAATAATAATAATAATAATAATAATAATAATAATAATAATAATAATTCTTAATCTAAAAATCAACTTAGCCGATGTTAAGTTCCAGTCTTAATTTGCCGGTTCCTCGGAATAAAGAGATTTAGTTTTAAAGATATTCGTCAAATAGCATTTACCATACGTCGAGTTGTATTATTGCCGTTCTTTCTGTTTTTTTAGGCAGAAGTTCGGCTTTTTCCTGTCCGTAAAACAGGTGAAATCTTCCGCGATTTTTTTCCAGCGCTACCAAAACAGCTGTGCTGAAACATTCTTATCTCGAAGGCTCTCGGTTGACGCTGCTTTTCCTGATGACAGCCCGTACTACTGACGCCATTTTAGGGGATAAAGCAATTACTATGAAGAATTTGCCGGGGGATTTGAGCCAATGTAAGACGGAAAATTATTTTGAATGAATAATATCAGGAGCTGATCGTGATAGACAATATACACAAGTGGACCCAATATCTTGTTAGATAGGAAAACAGTTAAATATTGATGTTACTTCTATTTGTTGGAGGAAAAAAACAGGCTCGTGGCTCCAAATATGGATATTGCTCATCGATTTCTCGGAACTTTCTAAATTCTGTTCCAATTTTGTCTTTTTCTGCACGAGAATATAATGAAACGGTCTACAATTGTGTTCCGAGACTTTTCTGAGTCACGAGTTTACAGCAAACGGCAAGCGGCAGACTCAAACTAACAATTTCTCAAAATAGAAAATAAGCAGATAAAAACTGTCTAAACAAATCTTATGGATGCAAATAACGTGAAATCACTTTTTTTGGTAGAAGTAAGGAACGGTTAAAAACCAAAAAAAAAGAAAGGTCACGTGGATCAAATTCAGGGCTGCCGTTTGCCTCAAAGGTGACTATAAATTTCTCTAATGGCTACCGCGAAATTACATCAAAGTTATATAAGGTTGTCGTCTTCCTGCTCTTCACCAAGAATCGCTATAAACATGACTTCAAGGAACAGTAAACATTTGAAAGCGGACGTTAAATGTGCGATAAATTTCTGATAAATTGCAAATAGACCAAAGGTAACCCAAGCTCGCACATGCCAGCTTGGGCACTGTTGAAAAGAATTTGTACGGAAAATAAAATAATTGTTTTTTAAGCTAAGCATATGATGAGGACTTAACTAAAAAAGATAAAAAAAAAGGCTTACCTTACTTAAGTTGCGTGATTCTTCTTCCCCGTGCAGACCCTAAACTAATTTATGGCCATTATATGGGTTTTAAGGTGACCAGATTTCTTTCTGACTGGATATACCCTTTTTATTACCTATAACATTACTACAAATCGATTCAGGGACCATGCAGGAAAGAAGAAACCCACCACTAGTAAAAACAAGTGAGGTAAGCCAATCTTAAATTTGTTTTCCAAAATTTAAATCTCGACATATACGTAGGTTAGAGCCATTCCTTTTTTCCATATTCAAATCCATAAAGTTCAAATTTCCATCGATAAATGCCCTTGTTTACATCACTGAAAATAAAATAAATTTTGCCGAAATCTATTATTTTACAAACTGCATAATATTACAATGACTTTGCTAGGGATAGATGGTGTAATCTTATAATCTCTTGTATATAATCAATATAGTATAAACTGCCGGAGACACGCTTGACCACTTGCCCGACTACACGTGCTATTCATTTTCCGGTCTGTATATTTCGGTCACTTAGCATGTACTGCCTTTTTCTGAATTATAAAAGTACAATAACAAACGGAATACTTTTCGTTTATTTGATCAGCTTGCGTGTATGTTTATTGTGAAATCAAAAAAGTCGTCTGGCAGTAGCCAATCAAAGAATACACTTTATGTGGCAAATACAAGTTAAAACTAATTAACGGTCGACGAACCAATATTAAAGAAAATGTTCATTTACAATTTTGATTGAACAGTCTGAGGTATTTATAGCAAACATTCAAACACTACTAACTAACATGCTTAAAGTCGTGAAATTGCAACAAATATTTCTGAAAGTAGAGTATGAGATAGGCAATGGAATTGGAAAGAGCACTGTTAAAAATCGTCGTAGTCGATTCTTAGCGTAAAGGTTTACGAACAAGAACTCTTGTCTTTACTCACCGATATTCATTTACTTCAGAAGGAATATACCATCGACATGTTCGCTTTCTGAATGTGCCCCAGATCCACGATGTTTTGGTTTCTTGCGGCGCTGTCATCTAGAAAAATAAAATAGGAGAAGTTGATCTTTGCTGCGCTAACGAGTGACAATACAATAATGCATCTTGTTTTAACTCAGAAAATCAAATCTCGGTTCTTTTCGACGTAACTAGAAAATTAACGTTTAGGTCTTGACTTTTCGCTGCTCATTGAACTTGTGGTCAATGACTTTTCGCTGCTCATTAAACTTTTAGTCAATGACTTTCGCGGAGTACACTTCATACATCATATTAATGTGCCGATATATATGTTACATGTCACACCAAACAATTGCGACTGAGAATTTGACTTTATTTCTTGGGATCAGAGTATATCAGTGTTCTTGTAAATGTTCCGTTTCTAGACTAAACTCACCTCTTTTGCATCGACATTGTCACTCTCCTCATCCGAAATGAGATTGTTTTTACTCGAAGCGTCTTTTGGCATATTTCTTTGGCGTCTGGAATGCGGCGATCAAACTTCTTGCTGAAGAGATGCTCTGGACATAAACCTATATCACTTGGCACTATTCGGTGATAACGTGATTTTTCTCGACTAAAAGATCAGCTCTGCCGTAGAATCTTGACTTTTGCTGAGCATGCAAGATAACATCTTCACTGTGATCTGATTGCGGAATAAAACTAATATCAGGGAACTTCAAGGTCTTTAAACATCCGTATACTTCCCGTTTCGTGAATTACGTGCTTAAAACCTCTCGCACATGTTCAGACCAAAGATCAACACAATGTGAAGATCTGAGAACAACTGATCAATTGAACTGAGTCAGGTTCAGGAAAGAAACGACTACCCATGTGAAAGTTGTTGTTTGTTCGATAGGGTTGCGTGACACTAAAAAGCACGTGCTTGAAGTCAATATGAGGCAATTAATTAGTTTACAATTAACTCCAGAGTAGCTGCACATGCACAGGCCAACCAAGGGAAGAGAGTATTGCTAACATGTTGAATTTGCGATAACTGTTCTCAACTGTTCTTTTTTTCTCTGCCACACCACAGGAGTCCATAAAACAAAATAATTCGAAGTTAAATGATGTGATTTAAGGTGTATTTGTTGGTTTTTCTTTTACCTTATTCATCCCTCTGACAGTACATCGGGTTTTCGCCTTAAAGGGGCTGTGTCACGGCAGTCCAGTTCATTTTGTTTAATTTTGCCAATTACTCGCCCTCAATCGCTATGGACCTTAAAGTAAGCAAAGAAATTACAGGTAAATGACAAAACCAGAGATCCGAGACAAACAAAAATGTCTCCTGAGCATTATTTTTGAATTTGCAAGCAGCAGGGATCAACTTTGAAAAACTGTTAGGCTGAACAGTTTTCAAAAACCCTAATTTCAGTCCGTTTCAATATTCTTCAGTTTTGCCCATCTGTGGCATCTGTTGTTTCGGTTATGTTATTTTAACCTTCCTTTAAAGTTTTAAGCGGTTATTTTTATATTTCTCCTAATTTAACGGGCATTTTGTAATTTCCTAATTGGCTGAATTTCGTGACACAGCTCCTTTAACCGAGTTGTTATTAAACATTTCAAATTGTTTGGCCAATGATATTGGACCCACATGGCCTCATATCTTTGTATTCAGTTTTTTTTTCATTTTTTTTTCTGGCAGCCAAACGTATGAGGACGGGGGAAACTGAAATCGAATTAATAGCGAAATTTACTGTAGAATACAACAACTGTCGATATAGAATCTGCTGAGCCTGGTATTTTTCTCTTGCTACTAACAAACTAAGTGAAATGTTATCAAGGAAAATAACAGGCAGTCTTAAAATTAAAAAAGGAGCAAGCCGATGGGGCTAGCGACTTCAAAACATTTTAAAAATTCTTGAATGAAAGAAAGGTTCTTAGAGGTTTCACGGCGGAAGTTAAATGTTTCGGCATGTCACGTCCTCCTGCATATTCCTTTTGCGGTTATTTGAGGTCCACAAGTTTTTGCTACGGCCATGAATTCTTGTAGCCGTCTTGAGAAATAGTGTGATTGCCAAACAGTGTTTAATTTCTTCCTGAGTTTGATAATTCTGCACTCAAACACACGTGTAGCTTTCCTGTCTTATGGCAACTAAATAATAACTTATATAGCACCATCAAAATGAATAATTATCCGAAGAACATAAACCGATACCTTTCTTCACTTCGACGTTTTGCTTCTTTAAAGGAAATCTTCCAAAATCATGAGGAAAACATCTTGATTTTCGCTGTCCCAGGTTGTGGTAGATAAGACACAGAAAACACGACAGTTTCTACTTACAAAGGCGCAAAATTGCCTCCAATTTCCCGGTTCCACGATCATCCGCTTACAGACAGGGACCGCGCAGAGGGAGGGGCTGGGGGGGCTTTAGCCCCCCAACTTTTTTGCAAGAATAAAAATGAATTACACAAAAAATAATTTAACAAAAGTAACGGAGTGAAAAATATCAATGAAAACGCTAATTCGAAAGTGACCAGGGGTGCTTACCATTTGACGGAAAATTTCGGAAATTCCGGATGGAAGGTAAATGGTAAGGTCACTTTTCGGAAATTCCAACCGAAAATTGAGGACTACGTATTGAGGTAGTCCTTTCATTCCGGTTGGTACGAACCAAACGGAATGTTGCTTACCATTAACCAATTTCTCAGTTCCTTCTCAGTTCCAGACTCACGCGACACAAATTTACCCTTTTTTTGGATTCAAACCGTAACGGATATGGCATTTCTACGGTAAACTGGCAAATCGCTTACCATTATGCTTTCGACACCCCAACCGGATTTTTCTGTCAAATGGTAAGCACCCCAGAGTTACTGGCAATAGACAGAATGAAGCATTAGTCGTTACAATTGTAAAATATTTTTTCGCTTCTAACCTAGCAGAGGTAAACGTCTTTTAAATGGCTTCTTTTTTCCTGCGGACCTCTCAGGAAAACGCGTTGTTTCGTAATTGGTCAATTTCGATCCAAAGTAATAACTGGGTTTAGTTTATAAGGCGATTCTCAAACAAATTGTTTATTATGTGAAGAGATAATTTATTGTTATTCAGTTATTTTGCTTTCGCTGATAAAAATGTGAAAAGCCAATGTAGAAATCATTTATTCTTTAGTCTTAACTTCTTTTAGCCGTAAACAACCTGTTGATTTATTGAGCGTTAACTTATTTGTCAAGTCATAATTGTATTTAGTCTTCAAAGTGTAATCAACCTGTAAGAAGCCGTTATCCACCTGTGTAGCTTTTGGAAGTAATTAATGTTTCAAAGCAAGCTTAGGTTTCCACCAATAGTCTTTTAGAAATGATTGTTGTGCTCTGTAATTTGACTCGTTGAGTTGTGATGTAATCTCTATCGCTTCGCTAGCTTAGGCTTAAATACGAGTGCTTTGTAGGAGCTTCTTCGGTTACATCCAGGTCCATCTAGTCCTGGTTACATCCAGGTCCATCTAGTCTTGGTTATATTTTGGTTGGTTATGTTCCTGACTCTTCCCGCAGTATAGTCTTGGATTAAACCTCTACATTGGAGCCAAGTTCTGTTGTATTCATTGTCTCAAGGGTATTCAGCAGGCGTAAGAGATTCCGTGCCTTCCCGCAGCCAGCGAGTGTCCCCAGGAAAAGGCCTTTCCCAGAGAGTTCTAGAGTTTTTCCCCGTCCGTCAGTTTACCCTTTTGTGAAGGCAAAACCTGTTTCCACACTGGTGTTAAAGTGAAAAATAGTGTTTTCACACTGGTCGAGAAGAGTGGCAATTACGCAAGGAATACCAGAGGCAAAGAAACCTTACAGAACAGGATGTAACCCCTTGGAGCAAGAGAGAGTACGCCCAAGTAAGTCAATTTAACTTGATGCCGAAGTTTTTCTCGAGAAGAAAAGAACCTTACAACCTAAGAAGCCGGAGTAAAAACCAAAGTACTCCGAAGTCGAAAGTAGACGCCTGCGTCGAGTGCGATTTGCCTTTCGACGAATCAAAAATAGCCCCAGAATTGAGGCGTGGGTCAGTTGCTAAAGAAGGAACTAGTTCAGAACCGTTGGAACCTTCTCACAAAAACTCTGTAAGGTTTAACACGACCAACTTGGAATCCGTAGATATTAGTGTAGATTCCGATAGCGACGACAGTCTTAGTGCTTTGGACCCAAGGCGCCTCAGAGCTCTCGTAGAATCTGAGGAAGAACTTTCTTCAGAAAACGAGAGAGAAAAAGAAAAAGAAAAAGAGAACTGTACGGATAACATTTTTGCAACAGGTAGTCAACAGGTACCCGCGAGTACGTCACCTGCTACTGGTAGTACATCGCCTCCCAGTAATACAACACCACCTACAACCACACCTGTAGATCCTACCGTAATTGAGCAACCAGAAGTGTTAAATACTACACCAATTGTTCCCGATAACGCTGCTGGTGGACAACCGTTACCAAATATTAATTCACCTGCTGATATTTACGAACACTTTTCCCGGAGGGTAGACTACAGAGATACCTTCACAACGGGAACGCCTCCGAGTAGTAATTTCACTGGATCGCGTGATAAGACTGACAGAACCCCTGACGACTCTAGTGATAACAGTGAATGCGAATCAGCCTTACCAGCTACAAATATAGAGAGTTGTAAAACGTGCGACGCTACAGGTACCATGCAAGCAGAGGAGTTAACTAAATTGCAAGACCAAATAATTGCTTTACAACAAGAACTTAAATCACAACAAGAGAAAGCTCGTGTCTTTCGTACAAAAACTATCAGTGCCTTTGAGCAAACTCCGATTCCGGATGTATCCAGTCCGCACAGACCGACCGCATTTCACGGCTTTGACTCCGAGGATATAAATCGATGGCTGGATAAGGTGGAAAATTATTTGACACTACGCCGGATAGATACATCCACTCCTACCGCTTTGGCAGAACTTGTACTGAATCTTGCGGGGCCAGCTGAGGACTTTTATTATTCCCTACCTGGAGATTGTAAGGATACCTTTACTAAGCTGCGTGATGCCTTGAAGGAAAGATTCGCAAACGAAAACCAGAGCTGGATTATCTGGCAGGCAATTACTACCCGCCAGCAGGGACCTGTGGAGCCACTTGACACCTATTTAACTGATTTGACCGGAAAGTTTCGTCGAATCAACATTTCAGATGCAGATAAGATGCGTTACTTTGTTCAAGGGCTAAGGGCCGATTTGAGAGAAACTGTTTTGCTAAAACAACCAAAGACTTTCCGGGAAGCGGAAGAAATGGCCCGCCTCGCATCAGCCGTTAAAACCACGATGAGCAATTCTAATGAAACCGTTACGATACAATTAAATAATTTAACGAAGACCTTGAACACTCTGGTAGCCAATAGTAACAGCGCAGTAAGTACAAATCAACAACAGTCGCTTCAAACTCAGATAGAAACATTGAAACAACAAATGAATTCACTCATGCCTACAGTTGCCAAGTCGGATAAAGTTGCCGCTTATTCAGAGCCCCAAGTGGGTGGCCAGAGTAAGATTGATGAACTTACTGAACTTGTGAAGCGTATGGGAGATCAAGTGAATAGTTTTGAAAAACGGGTGGACGCACGCATCACTGGTCTCGCACAACGTCAGCGGGAGACACGTAACACTAGGGAGCGATCAAGAGATGGCCGACCCTGTTGTTATGTATGTGGTTTGCCTGGCCATTATCAAAATAGTTGTCCACGACGGAACAACCGTGAACGTGACCGAACGCCGGTGCCCAGGTACGCGTTGCCTGCTCCTGATAACTATGCTCAATATTTAAGTGGCCCTCAAGCACGACAGCGAGCCTTACCACCGCCACCACATCAGAGTCGAATAGCTGCCTTTCAGGACAGTACTCCAACCTCTTCCGACCATCCGGAGTTGCCTATATACGAATCTCCCAATTATGACTCAGTTGATTGGGATTATTATTATGATGATGCCGTACTAGAAGCCACGACGAACAATTACTTTAACGGTCACCACGAACAAGACTTTAACGATGATGACTTCTATGGAGAGTGGGATTATTGTTACGATTATGAATCAGAATCCGAGACTTACGATTATGCAGATGATTGGGATCAAGTATATGATGAACCAAACATTCAGCAACCAATTCTTTCCACACTTATAGAAGAAGACCTAGGCAATACAGCAACTGCTCACCTGCCATACTTAGAAACAGATGATTTGCTGCCTTTGACTGATGACGAATATCCATCTGAAGACGAAACTGAAAAAGGGGATGAGTTTGATCTACCAGCTCCAGTTCCTTATCCGCTGTTGCCCGCAATAACCATGCACGATGACACTGCTGTCTCTGGAATTTTAAGGTACCTTACAAGGCCTGATCAAACTACAAAATCAGACTTGGCCTACCCACCAGCTCCAGTTGATGTCTCACCGCCTCCATATCCAGGAAACGTTGGCATGTATCTGACTCAGTTCGTTGGAACCAACTATCCCAAACCAGAGTTAGCAGGTTACAATAAAGTAGATCTTAGGATGGCTCAGCCACCACAGACCAAAGAGGTAAAGCAGAAGTCAACAGCCATTGCTTATAGTACCCTGAACGCTGATAACCACGTTACAGGAGATTCCAGCCGATCTCGCCATGAAGACCTTCCCACAGAAAGCCCAACCGCTATGCACTCTGGGGAGAAGACGAGCAACTCAGTTTCGGCTCAAAATGTCAGAGAAATGGTCACGACTCAAGTCAGTAAACAGGTGAAACCCTTAACCAATCAGGAAACAGACAGAACTGCCAAGCTAGAACAGAACTACCATGTAGCTCCCAAAGCGATACCGAGTGACCAATCAAGTTTCCCTTGCCCTGAGATTAGACAGTCAAATCCTGATACTGGACAACCAGGTAGTAACCACTCTCTATGAGCGCAGATAGTTTCAACAGAGCCGAAAACCAAAAGAGCAACTCATTCTCAGCTTCATAATGATTACCAGCAAGAAATTAAGGACGAGCTTACAAAAGTTATAAAGGATATGGAAGGAAATCTATTGAACAAGATTACAATTTTGGAACGACGCATGGAAGAAAACTTGAGACACAGTAAGGTACAACCATGGAAAAGGACTTGCTTTTATTGTGGAATGGTTGGCCACATTCAGATCAACTGCCCCCATCGTAGTTGCCAACAAGGGTCCTATAATTATAATGCACGTCATGAGCCTGAGCGAATCCCGCATCAAACCACTACGTTTCAGCCGACATACACATCCAGGGACAAACCTCGATGCCAAGATTCAGGAGAGGAGCC